ATAAATCAGAATGATAAATTAGAGACTTTGATTGTATAAAAACATTGATCTTGTGAATGTCCAGTAATTTGAAGTATAAACTAAATTGACTTGACAGGACCGTCAATTTATTGGAATTATCATTGATTTTAATAGAATGATCTGAATTGTTGCATTTTTCTTATATCTGATTTGTTGTAATTTTCATTTTGCTGAATGTTTAGTTATTGTTCAATTAAAATGTGTTTTTCTTTGTCATGTTATATTCAACACTTAATGCTCTCATCAATGATATGCCATGTATGCATGAAACAACATAATCTTTAACCTAATAAACTTAAAATCAAAACAAATCATTTTTGAGAAATTATTTTTTTATGGAACACCACAAAGCCAAAATCTTAAAATCAGTGGAGTGTTTGTATATTATAGTAAAGGAGGTGGTTTTTCACATAATTGTTCAGCTGTGTGTCACTGTTTTCTGAAAGGTTCAAAATCGTTGTTTTATCAAATACAGAAATGATAGAAACAAATAAAGATCCATTTAACCATATATTTTTAAAGAGATTGAAAATGTGTGACTGATTTATCATAGCATTATTTCCATCTTTCTCGAAGTCCAAATTTCTCCCCAACTTTTTAGTGACAAAGTAAAACACTTGTAATTGATCCTTTATTACTTTAGTTTGAACAATAGGACATTTCAGTTAAAGATACATTATAATACACACACCTGCAGCTGTTTATGACCGACATCTCCTACAATACCTCGCTGCATGTCAGAATTAACTTGAATCGAGCCGTGAACACAGCATGCATGTATTACAGGAGATTTGTCCCTTAGCAGATCTTGAAGCTCGTCAGTTTGAAGTCTCCTGCCACTCGGACGTAGCTGATGACGTCCATACCAACACGATTAGGAAACTGGACTTCCTCTCCATCGGGAAGCTCCACTTCAAACATGTCTCCAGACAGCTTCAGCTCAATCTAACAAACACAACCTTTATTTTAAACGTGGAAAACTCAAACGCACCACAAAAAATGCTGTTTAATTTGAGTAATTGATAAATCTCTTGTCTAAAAATAATTTATTTAAAAATGAAAAATCCGATTTATGCACATACACACATCTCTGCTTAATGTTCCCTCACCTTCACATCACAGCCCCGCTGTAAGGGGTTGTGTATTTCCCGTTTCTCATCGCCCCAACAGCCAGCAGTCTTTGTGTTACACACAAGGACGGCGCCATCAGCATCGTCATGGAAACGGGGGTTGAAGTGCAGAGCGAGGTCATCAGAGTCACAGCCAAGGTCAATCTGGAATCTGAGATGAAAGCAACCAGTCTCAATAACAAGTGTTTCTGGACTGTCAGACAGTTTGGGTAGTTTGGTAAACAGCATAATCGTGGAAACATTATTTCTGGTATCTTGTTTGGGAGTAAGTATAAGATATGACGCATTTAATTAGTTTACCTCTCAGCATCATGCAGAATTTCTCCCTTAATTTTCAGTTTGTCTCCAATTTTCAGATCAGCATTCTTCAGTTCAAGTTCCTGTAACGTTTAAGGTTTGAGCCATTCATTAAAAATGATTTTAGAAAGAGGGATCCTACGCAATTAAATCCCAATGTTTTTTCCCCTTGCTTTTTCTCAAACCTAAATAGAAATTCAATATGTGATAGAAACATGTATCAAGCTTACCATAGTGGTTGGGTCCGACTGAATAGTCCTGGGAAGACAGTCTTATACTGAATTTAAAAAAAAAAGTTTTTAAAAAAAATGGTGTTTATGCTCATGTATTAACAAACCAACAACAACAAAAATCCACTCTTAATACAGAATTCATAGAGCATAGAAATGATTCATGCTTACTTCCAAGTACCTAGATCCAAGTTTAAAAACTTGCGTTGAACCAGTTTTCCATTTCATGTTGAATGGAATAGTCTTGTTTTTCCTAATGACTTTACTCATATCAGTATGTTTCTTTTTTTATCTTTTTATATGATTCAGCAAGTCCCATGCGAATAACAAACATGTACATAAGAACAGCTTTTTCAATGTTTGTTTGATATCCGTCTTCGCTACAAAAACATTTTGTTGAATATCGACCAACTAACTCTACACTCATCGGTTTCTGTTTCGTATGGTGTCCACTAGAGGGCAGTCAAGCAACAAGTACGCTGTAAAAACTCAGCAGGTCTCTCCTATAAACAACTAAGATAGGTTGAAAAGATATAACTAAAGAAAAAAGAAGCCCGTTTTCTTTTATTTTTCCAGTTCACAGGTTTGATGTGAATTAAAAGCATGCACGATCCTCGGTAATGAATGTTGACTTTGTTACATTAACGCAAGCTCCGCGGAAACAGCACCTACGACTTCCGCTATGTTCAACGGAAGTGACAAAATAAAGTAAATAGGACCTGGCATTTCATTAAGTTAAACTGATTACAGTTTTTCTCTTTTTTTTCTTGATGTGTCACTCCTAAAGCTTATGGGGTGTTGTACCTATTAGTAGCATTTAATGATATCTGTGCTTCTGAAGAAATAAGAGAGGTAAATATTTACGACATTTTAGACCAAGCGACGTTTGCGTTGCACCTGCTTGCGAACTCCAGTAGCTAAGAGCTAATGTGAGCGTTAGCGAGCTTTTAGTTTTTGTGTATTACTCCCTTTCTTGCATTGAGTTGTCACTCTGACATTTCATTCGTATCAAACATTTGTAAAGTATATGTTAATGTGTTACATAAAAGCCATTTGACTATTTTGTGGCATGCACTGAAAATTACCAGCTGTTTCACTGCCGAGCTAGCTTCTTCCTCCGATAGCACCAGTGGCATAAGGTTAATATCTTTAGCACAAACACTGGTGCTTTTGTTGTGGCCTTTCAACAATGAGTTTTAATCGTTCTCGAAGCTTCTTGGAAACATTTCACAGATGTTAACACTTCTACAGGGACAGGAGTGACAGTCCTACAATGTTCACAGATATGGACTACGAACTGGAGGAAGACAAACTGTAAGCTCCATATATGTTTTTGTAATCTGGGCCACATACTTAAATACTATGGTATTTTTGCTAGTGACGATAGATTTCTGAAAACCTAGACAGGCATATATTGAATTGTGATGAGACCTGACTAAATGGTTAAGACTGTAGTGTGTGTTTCTGTCCTGACGTCATCAGCCATGTTACAAATGAACCAGGAAACAGTCAACCAAATGCTGTATGTTGTTCCTTAACAGTGGGATCCCAACAGTTCCTGGCACAGTGACTCTAAAGAAAGATGCCAATAATCTTATCGGCATCAGTATTGGTGGTGGAGCACAGTACTGTCCTTGTCTCTATATTGTCCAGGTTGGTACAAAAAAAAAAAGTGAAGAGAAAAAAAATAATGAAATTATTTACCCTTTCAACTTAGCTGTTCTGGTCTTACAGGTGTTTGATAACACCCCAGCAGCCCTGGAAGGGACGTTGGCAGCCGGTGATGAGATCACAGGTGTGAACGGGAAACCAGTGAAGGGAAAAACAAAGGTGGAGGTGGCCAAGATGATTCAAACTGTCCAGGTACTGCGACTGGAGGAATGAATCCACAGCTCTTCGTCATTCAAAGCTATAAACAATTTTATTTAAGTGGTCAAATTTACTAATCATCTAATTAAGTGCATTTGATCAGCAGCAACGGGATATTGTTTCCTCTCTTAGTTACCTGATTTTCCACATTTCTTTTGAGGAAATAAGAATAATATAAAGCAATAATGAATGGATTGTTTTCAATCTTAAGTTGATCTTTGACTCATTTTAGGAGTGGACACCATATTATTTATTTGTTTTATACTTCTGGAAATGCATGATGTAGATTTTGACCAGTTCTGTGGTGACTCTTCAGGTATTCAGTTATACTGGATTAGTCCCAGCTACAAAATCATCTATCCAGTCCTTTGATTCTTTGTTTTAAAGGCTGTCCCTCCATCCCTGAGTATTAAAATGGCCAGCACCTTCAACTTGTAACAGGTCAGCAGTGTAATTCTAACAAAAGCACAATCTCACTTAAATATGGTGTGGACTTTGGAATTTGATGCAAACAAAACGGCAGAGGGGGAGAAGAAAACTCACTTTTTTATATCCTTCTGTGACTGGTCATCGTCAGTGAAAAAAAAAGTCCAGTGGTTGATCAGATGGTGTGAGCCCTGCATCAGACAGAGGAGAAAAGGGAGGTCTGTGGCCTGCCAGCTTGTGCTAAAGAGGTGGGAACAATAGCCCCCCCCCCCTAACGTCACCAGTGTTGTTTCTGCCACCTTTTGTTCAGACCCAGAAAAATTCCATGACTTCCTGCATGGTGGGATAAAGACGGTGTTCAGTGTGGGAATTAAAGGATTAGATTGTGTTGGTGTCACGCAGTCAGTGGCAAATACTTTTTGTGAAAGTCACCTTTTGGCACCAGAAGTTTGCACGTTACTCATTTAACCAACAAATACTACAATTGCCATTTTACCATTGGATGTATATTTTTGCAAAATAAAATATTAGAAGTAGGTTTTTGATATACTGTACACATGTTGGTTGTTGATATATATGCTTAATGTGATGTGTTCACAGGGAGAGGCTGTGATCCACTACAACAAACTGCAGGCTGACCCCAAACAGGGGAAGTCTCTGGATATAGGTACATGTCTCTGTGCTGCTACACGCTGTGTTTTACATGAGTTCAGCGACTCGTACTCGGTGCCGACTTGTGCATTAAACACACATCTTGTGGGTTCCAGTGCTGAAAAAAGTCAAACACCGCCTCGTGGAGAATATGAGCTCAGGCACGGCCGATGCCCTCGGACTTAGTAGAGCTATTCTGTGCAACGGTAAAGTCACACTGAGTGACCAAGTCATGATGAGTAGCGTTGGTTTGATTTGGTAGATAGTTTGAGGTTGTCCCTTTCTTCGCAGATGGTCTGGTCAAAAGACTGGAGGAGTTGGAGAAAACAGCAGAGCTCTACAAAGGTAAAGAATTGATTACACCCATATCACTGTAATCAAATCAATGTTCATTAACTGTTTTGAGTTATTTTGATAAGAAAAACAATCCATAAACAACAGATTTTAACTCAAACTGTAAGGTGCTTAATTGTCATTTAGTGCTGTTTTAAATATCTGTATAGCCGGTTACTTATCAGCTCCTGCTCAAACACAGTTGTCTTTTACTCAACTTTTACCAGCTAAAACATCTCAGCTAAAGACTGAGTCCATCAGCAATGTTTCACAGACAAAGAGAGTTCAGATTGAACGGGTTTATGAGTGGCAGCACTCCCTCAGGCCCTCTCAGTGGAGCCTACATCTGTGGATGGGTCAAAGATAACTGAACTAACCTAATGAGCTCATAGAGTTGCGTTTAGCAGAAAATGTGGTGTATTACCTTCCCTTCCAGTTGTGGAGTTCACTGAACTAACTCTAACTCTAAGACGCTAAAGTACTCCCCTGCTCTCAACTGGGAAAAAATCATTCATTTTTCTTCTCTCTTCTCACAGGGTTGATGGAGCACACAAAGAAGCTGCTGCGAGCTTTCTTTGAGCTTTCTCAGACTCACAGAGGTCAGTTGATATATTTAAAATCAGACATGATTCAACTGTGTCATAACAATACCAAACTCTTTAGTTGTATTTCTTTGTTCTTTATTCTAATTGTTTTTCTTCATGGCAGGCTTTGTGATTAAAAAGTAAGCTCCACATGTCGGAGCATCTGTAACACCAGATAGTCCGTCCCGGCTGTAAGCTGGTGGGTCCCTTTTATGGCCCCTCTTCCTCACATAGTCCCCCATCATGTGCCTTTTTCAGCCTTTGGAGATGTGTTTTCGGTCATCGGCGTGCGAGAGCCTCAGGCCGCCGCCAGCGAGGCGTTCGTAAAGTTTGCAGACGCTCACCGGAACATTGAGAAATACGGCATACAGCTGCTGAAAACCATCAAGCCCGTAAGAGAAAGGAACACATTTGAAGTTATTGTTTGCAAATCATATGAAAAAGTCAGAAATGTAAAGGAAAAAAAAAACCTCTCGATGCACAGATGCTCCATGACCTGAACACCTACCTTCACAAGGCCATACCGGACACCAAGCTCACCATCCGCAAGTACCTGGATGTGAAGTTTGAATACCTGGTAGGGCTACGGCTCCGTGTCCCTGTGGTTTCTGACGCCGGATGGCTTTATCGCTCATAGATCCGCTCCATAGGGGTTTCTGTGAGTCGTCACACAATTAACAGGATTAATTATTTGTTTCTTTCAGTCCTACTGCCTGAAGGTGAAGGAGATGGATGATGAAGAATACACCAGTATTGTGAGTGGTCATTTCACTTGTGGTTTGTGGTATTAAATCTAAAAAATGCAGGGGGGGGGTTACTAGTGTTACCCTGCATCAGTTCATGTTCAGATCTAAACCCTCTTTGATGGGAGTGAGGTCCTGACCTGCCACATGATGCGTGTTGATGGTCACTATTTGGAGCTGTGATGAGTTTAGTGGATCTGCCTGTGTGACCTCGTGAATAACGGGCATCCTCCACAGGCCATGGGAGAGGCTTTATACCGCGTCAGCACAGGAAACTACGAGTACCGTCTGGTGCTGCGGTGTCGGCAGGAGGCCCGCGCCCGCTTTGCTAAAATGAGGAAGGATGTCTTGGAAAAGATAGAGCTGCTGGATCAGAAACACGGTAGGTGTTTTTTGTTGTTTGTTTGTTTTTTTTGGGGCAGTCGCACCCAAATACAAAGAGGGACGCTCCACATAATTTGAGCTGAGTTTTGCCCCAGCTCTCAGACCGTCGGCCTCCTTTGCATCCACAGTTCAGGACATAGTGTTCCAGCTCCAGCGCTTCGTCTCCGGCATGTCCAACTACTACGACGAGTGCTACGCTGTCCTGAAGGAGGCGGACGTGTTCCCCATCGAGGTGGACCTGTCCCGCACCATGCTCAACTATAGCAGCCAGCCGTTCGCATACACGGATGAGGAGGAGGAGGAGGAGGAGGACGGGGGAGGCGGAGAAGAGGGCGGGAGCAGCCAAGCAGAGAACGGCGAAGAGAAACTGATAGATGACGAATGAGCGGCGGGGGGGCGGCGGGGGGGTAGAAGGGCTTGATTCTGTAAATTTGCAGGCATCTTTGAAACCCACTTAATGAAGTACACCGACCACTATTTACTGTATTTGGTTGCAAATTTTTCTATTTAACTTTATCTTTCAGGTTATCCTGTTGAAATGTAATTTATTCAGATTTATGATTTGACATGACTTTATTGTAATGAGAGTTGGGTGGGGTTTTATTCCTGCAGGTTGGGATGTTTAAATATATAAGTGGTGCCTTCTTTGCTCTGATTCTGATTTAGTTTAATGGATTTTGGTTACATTCCTGTCTACATAGGATTGAATGTTTATAGCTTTCTTTTTGTCTGACTATTTTCTGTTTTGTTTGGTGAATTTGTTTTAGCACAGAAACCTGAAATGTGCTTGTCACAGAGTATTTCAGAAAACAGCTCTCTTCTCCATTGCATCTGTCTCACTGAAGGCATTTCAGTGTGTGTTGCTGTTACATATTTCTATGTGGACCTGTGTCTATCTGGAAAAGGTTAAGACATTTTTTTAGTTTTTAGTTTTTTTACTTTCCTGCATTCAACACTACCCTTGTACTTTGCTGCTGTATCTTGTAAATCCTGGGATTGTTTAAACTTTTATTTTCTATATACTCAAACTTCAGCTTTGCTGTGAATAAATTTAAAGGAAAGCAAACAAAAAATTCAACAGATGGAAAACCTTAGCTCATCCAATATATATTGAGACTTCCACCATATTTATTTAGACTTAATTTTATTTGATTATTTTAAATGTGTTATTTGATTTTTTAATAAATCGTTTCTGTCTGTGGCCACTGGAGGGCAGCATTAGTCTATGCATTTCTTTGCGTCAATAAAGAGACTTCTCTTGTTTATTTAGCATAAACAGAAATGATTCACAAGTTTTATTATACTTAAGCTGTTTTGACAGTTACAGCAAGCTATTCGCTTTTAGGTTGATATTTTTTATGTTTAACGCTCGGGAGTGTTATTGTCAGATTTAGCTCGTTGTGTCTGTCTTTTTGTTGCACTGTAGTACAGCTCGAATAAAAATACCGAATAAGTCAACAAAGCTACGCGCTCATTCGATATCATGGAAATGTTTAATGTCATATTTCATGAATACGGACTGTGTCAAGAATAACTAGACATGTTGGTTCCTGCTTGTCACGCAGCCCCAGTGGCCTAATGGATAAGGCACTGGCCTCCTAAGCCAGGGATTGTGGGTTCGAGTCCCATCTGGGGTGAACATTTTTAGCTTTTATTTTTGCTCTTTTGTTCATTATCGTTTTTAGCGGATTGACAGACGCGATTACAAAGTCGTAACAGCTGCTTTTGTTTTCCAGACATCGAGGTGTCTGCTCACTCACGGACTTCTGTTTCCTTATTTCCACAGCCAATCAGGAAGCGCTCCGCTCCCGTGACTTTCGGGCTGGAATGGACTTTCCCTCACATAACATCAGATTTCCTCCCCGCTTCGACCTTTGTCGGTGGCTTGTTTTCCTAACGTCGCGACTTGCCATTGCATTAACATACACAAGTTTCTAAAAATGAGTCTGTGTGTCCTAATGTTGCTCCATGTTGCTGCGACCTTCGCCTCTGCTGACAGTAAGTAGGACGAGCGTGTGAGTAATTTTGGGAGGTTGTATAAAGATCGCTTTATTGTCCAGTATTAAGCCAGAAGTAGCTGCTGTATGAGTTTATAAGCGAGTTCTATTTGTGACTTAAGATGTCTGAAAAATGACCACACAATGCATAAAGTGAATGAAGGGGCACCCCTTAATTGTTAAACGTTTCTTTGTTAAACTTTCGTTTTCATATCATTAATCTAACCAAGTGTTTTTTTTTACCACTGAAAGATTTTGATTCTAACCATGTCACATTAACTTATTTTTAAGCAACATCAGCAAACATGTCATTTTTATTTCCAGCTGAATTTAAGGAGCCTGAGAGTTTCCTTCAGTGTCTTTTCCAGCTATTCTGCAAGAGTGTGTGTTTCACAGGACTCAAAATTGTTTGTTTGGTTCCTAAAATCGGTTTATTCCTAGAGATGATGGCTGCCACTGTGTACTGGGACCCTCAGCACAAGAGTGTTGAGCTGAAGGAGGGAGTGCTGGAGACAGAGGGGGATGCGTACGGGTTCCTGAACGACACCCTGCTCAGCACGGGCTGGAGCGTCCTCGAGATGCGTGCGGGGTACGGACAGACCCCTGAAACTGACGAGATCACTTTCTTTTTGGCCGGATACCTCGAAGGTTTCCTCACTGCCCAGTAAGTGTCCCCAGTGTGTTAGCAATCCTTAATGCATGTATGTATCCCATTTTATTATTACATTCCTGGATTAAGTAATTCAGTGTACTTATTCCTCCTGCTCAGGCAGATCATGGACCACTACAACAACATGTATCCACAGCTTATCCACGACCCCAAGATCCTGGGCCCGGTTAAGACATTCATGGAGTGAGTTTGTTCTCTCTTCCGTTTAAAAATAAAAACCACAGACAGCACCGAGCCTGGAGTGTGCATCACCGTCATCATCTTTCATATCCTCTTCTCAGAATAATTATATTAAGGCTCACAGTTCTCGCATTCAGCAGCTCATCAACACAACAAACCTAAATAGAGTTAACTCACGATATGATCGCACTTCTTAACCGCTTTCATACCCCTGCAGTTTGTTTGAAGTTTTCATTTAAAGAGTTGCGAGGAATACTGAGTAAATATTAAGTGTCACTGTTAAAGGACGCAAGACTCGTGGGTCAGGGAGCAGGTGAAACTGAACAAGAGCTCCGACCCTTTGTGGAAACATGCAGGCCTCATCGTGGCCCAGATGGACGGGCTGCAAGCAGGAGTGGCCGAGTGGGCCAAGAAACAAGGAAAGAAGGTAAGATAGCCATCACCAAGAGTTTTTTTTCTCCAGCGGAAAGAAGCAGACACGGATTGTTTGCCACCAGAATAATGACTAATAAAAGGAGAAGCTCCAATCCCAGTGGTTCAAGCTAACGTTTCCCAGCATTTAGAACAAATCAGGATACCTAAAAGAAAGTAGAAGGCCTTGATTCTGTAAATTTGCAGGCGTCTGAAACAAACTTAATGATGCACACTCTACCCGACTGATCCAATCTGTTTAAAAAAAACATCTGACAAAGTTCTTCTTTCAAAATGAGGAACGTGTTTGCAGAACTTAGATGCAGTACATTTTCCAAATGTGGATTTAAGATTCACCCTGGAAAAAACAGCAACATCTGCTCTCCCTCCCACAGCCGCTGTCGCTGTTTGCCGTCCAGTTCCTGAGCGCGGTGGGAGACCTGCTGGACCTGATCCCGGCCCTGGTCCCAGACTCCAACCCCCCGCTGAGAGACTTCAAACTTCCAGGGATGGGGCACTGCTCTGCACTAATTAAGGTCAGAGGTCAAAACATGTTGGGATTTCTGGCTATAAGGCCGCTTAGATGCAGTTAGGTACAGTTCCTCAAAGCTCCCGCAAATTAGTCACGCCTCGCTGCCATCAGCTGTGATTAGATGATTTTCATACATTAGATGTGCAAAATCAGAGAAACACGGTCTTGTTTTGAATAACCTGATATGCTGCATTAGTGAAATTAAATCATTTCTAGGTAAATAAGGAGTTAAAGAACCGTAAATCTGAAATGTCTCGTGTCTTACGTCTGTAATTTCAACTTTACCTGTTTAATTTCCAGTGACTGCTGTTAAGCTGAGATGCAAAGGAACTAAATATTGTGATGTGATGTTCATGGTTGAGCCAGATCATGACCTCAAATGGGTTCCTCTGCCCCTTTCAGATGCTGCCAGGTTATGAGAACCTCCTGTTTGCTCACTCCAGCTGGTACACCTACGCTGCCACGATGCGCATCTACAAACACTGGGATTTTCACATCTCTGAACCCCACACAGCCACTGGGAGGCTGTCCTTCAGCAGCTATCCCGGCATGTTCACACCAGCTAGCTTCGTGCTGAGGTTTTTTTTCAGCGTTGGATCTGGTGTCTGAAATGGGTCTGTTGTTTCCAGGTTTCCTGGTGTCTCTCGATGACTTTTACCTCCTGGGCAGCGGTCTGATGATGACTCAGACCACCAACAATGTCTTCAACTCCTCCCTGTTTGATGCAGTTACCCCAAAAAGCCTGTTTGCGTGGCAACGGGTCAGACTGGCTCACAGTTTGGCGCATACGGGAGAGGAGTGGGCCAAAACCTTCTCCTTGTACAACTCTGGTCAGTGGGTTGCTCCATGGTTTAGCTTGGTTTTAGATTTGGTTCGTACTTTCCGCGCAAAAATTTCCATCATACAAAGTATGGATTAATTCGATACACCACATTCAGTATTATCTTCTCGTCTTCTATGATTTGCCCCCCACCGTGCACCCGTCCAGGCACGTACAACAACCAGTACATGGTGTTGGACAGGAGCAAAGTGAAGCTGGGCCACAGCATTGATGACGGAGCCCTGACCGTGGTGGAGCAGATCCCCGGTTTGGTCGAGTTCTCCGACCAGACGCCGGCTCTGCGCCTAGGTAGATTTGCTCAAAATTTTCTGAGTTTTTTGTTGTTGTTTTTTTTTTGGTTCGATTTATTTCTCTCGGATCCCGTCTAACGCAGGTTACTGGCCGTCCTACAATATCCCCTTCCACCGAAAAATCTACACGCTAAGTGGGTACGGCGAAATGTGGCGGCAGTACGGCGAGGACTTCTCTTACGACCTCTGTCCCAGGGCAAAGATCTTCCGCCGCGATCAGGCCGATGTCAAAGATCTGGACTCCCTCAAGCACATCATGAGGCTGAATGGTGGGTCGATCCACATCCTCACTCAGCCGAGCGATTAGCTGATCGTTTAGCTTTGAAATAACCGATGTTCATTTAGTAAGTATTCAGCCGTTTTCCCCAGAGGTCTGACGGCGCCATTTTCCTTCAGTGTGAGCATTTTTGTTTGCTCCCCTTCAGACTACGAGAAGGATCCGTACTCTAAGGGCGACCCCTGTAAGACCATCTGTTGCCGTAACGACCTGAGATCAGAGAAGCCTTCCCCTGGAGGTTGCTATGACACTAAGGTAGTACCCGGTTAGCATTAGCAACCATGTATTTGGTATAGGTTTAGTACGATCGCAAGCTGTCCTGCCCTGATCTCACCTTCAACGACTTGTGTTTTGCTCCAGGTGACAGACTTCAACATGGCGGGGGGCTTTGTAGCGGAGGCAGTCAACGGGCCGACCACACAAAACGGACTCCCACCGTTCTTCTGGGAGAAATACAGCAGCATCCCCCACCAGGGACTGCCGCGGTACTACAACTTCACCTTCGTCAGGATGCAGCCCCGCCTCTTCGAGCCGTGAGCCGTGTGTTTACGGGGCTGACGTGTGCACACACACACACACACACACACATACACCGTGCACAGCCATGATCGTGCAGGATCAATGCGGTTTTTGTTCTTCTACTTTTGACGTAGGATTGCACTCTGTTACATGATTAAAACAAATCAGAGGAACGATGCCTCAGGTGTCTCAGGTGTACTGAATTTGTTTGTTTTGAGATTGCAGCCTTTTGTGCCTAAGCCACTGACAGTTATCAATGATCTGAAAATGCCAAATCAATGCACTAAATCCTCTATCCTTCAGGATTTCGTTTAAGTTTTATTTTTGAGAGCTTGAATGTCCAAATATATACCGACACTATCATTAGAATCATAAATGTAAGAGTGCGATGTCAGCCTCAGGTGTTGATCCTCTGCTGACGTGATTTATTTGACGTTCTAGCCTTTATTTCTTGTACTATGGACCAATGAAACATCTCAGGTTAGCATTCTCTGTAAGTCTTTCTGTCCTGAATGTCTGTTGTTTATTAAAATCCCACCTTTATACCATTGTTGCCCTGTTTTGATATTCAACATCTGTGAATTAGACATGCACACTGTGTTCTAAATGAATCAACTGTATGGTTCAGAGGTAACCACTTTCCCTCGAAATGTGCTCCAATAAGAATACAAATGGTCTCCATATGTTTAGGTGATAGTATCAGGCAGCATGGCATACATTACCATTGTTATGCTATAAAACTTAGCTATGGTTTTCAATGGAACTGGATGAAATTGATTCATTTGGATGCATTCTGCAGTGGTCAAATGACCGATTCATTCATTCATTCTCCTTCCTGTTGAAGTCCATGTAACACATATTCAAAGCCAAAAGATTAGATAGAGAAGGGAGGAGTCATCACAAACGTATTAAAATACTAATATCTTTGGCATATTTTACTGATTTTCTGTTCTGCAACCTGTAATTTAGACAAAGAAAATTTTGCATGGTTCCCGGTTTTGTTTGTGTGTTCTTTTTTTCTTCTTCTCTAATTACTCCGTTTATTGGTTTGGTAGTCTTTTGACAACTTGTGGCAGTTTCACCTTTTCTCACCCAGTTTCCATTACTGCTTTCCTCAGCTGCTGTTCATTTTCTAATTTACTCCCCATCTGGATATATCCTCTGCTCACAGTTCTAATGAGAGAGGAAGTGTAATGCAAGAATTATAACAGCACAGTGAGTAGAAATAAGATTTAAGGAATGAGCAGACAAAAATAAGTAGTATTTAAGTGGACTAGCTGGTGGGGGCACAACAGTGCCTTGTTGAGCTAACTGTTTCCTCTTTGTGGAGAGAGGGGAAGGAAGAAGAAGACATCTGGGTGTCTTTACAGAGTGTGGCAGCAATAGTTAAGACCAGTGGTGGGCCGTCAGGGGCTTCAAGGCCTTCTCTGAAGGCCTAAGAAAATATCTGAATCACAGACTGATGTTAATTATATTTTGTCCATGAAAACTTATTAAATATCTCTAAATAGTCTGTCAGCTTCCTTTCATAGCTTTCCCCCTGGTTGCGCTGCTTCCAGACATGTATTTTCATATAAAAGCATTTAACCAATCACATTTCAGACATCCTTTGTCGCTAGGCAGGGTCAAAGTCAAAGATGTCTGCCTGGAGCAAGTACATATCCCTGCAGTTCTGCAGCCCCCACAGAAAATACATGTCGAGTACATTGTTGCTTCAACCAATCAGATTTTAGGTTGGTCATGCCAGGGCCTGCTCCAAGGCCCAGGAAATGTCACCGTACCCACACCCGCTGATTGGATAGTCAGATATCCAATCAGGGCAAAGCTAGCAAACAAACCGAAATATAGTTGTGTTGGTGTAATAGCTATTTCATTATTTCGTGGCGGATTTACTGTCAAGACCATTTTCAAAACGGACTTTTCAAGAAAAGTAAGTGAGTAAAATGTATTTTTTTTCCTAAATGGTATTGCGAGTTTATGAGGATATTATTGATGTTTTTGTTTTTGTTTTTTTTTGGGGGGGGGGGGGGATCGCAGCTGTAGCTGCAGGAGTAGAAGACTTGTGCACCCCTGATCTTAAGACTGTATTTTAGGATTGTTCTGATCCGATATTTGGATCGTATCGGCCCGCATGAGAAAATGCCAATCGAGACTCCAGCTACATTTTTTTTTTAAGTCAGATCCCACCCGAGCATTAGCATTAGCATTAGCATCTCCTAACCCACAGGTCTGTGCCCTAAACTTTAGTTGTTATAAGAGTAAATCCCTGTTCAACATGAGTCTGACAACTAAGTCAGTAGAAAAACTAAATTCAACTTTAATACAAAAAGCTGGATCGGGGCATCCCTACTGTATTTCTACATAATAAGATGATTTCTATAACCATAAAATAGTTATTGAGGAGTGAATTGATTCAGACGGAGCACTACTGAAGGCCCAGGTGTGAAATGCACTGGTTAAGACTGACTTAAAGTTTTTGTAAATCTACTGAAGTGCGCACATGGGTACCTTTGGAACCTACGATATGAATTTTAAATTATCTAAATCACAAAGCTTATAGAATTAAATTTGCTCTGATTTGAGCTCTACAACTATGCGGGCAATAACTTTGTAATAGCCAAAACTTCCAACTAAGTTTTCTCTCAAAAGAAGAAAAATATTTGTGGTGAATGTCAGGTTTTAGTTTTAATGAGCATTGGCATTATGTTCTTTGCAGATTTTTTTGTTTGTTTTAAAAGTATTTAGTACTAGGACTTTAGGACTGAGGAATGAACTATATCACAATATGTACAAAGAACTCGACCACCTGAATATGATCAGATTGGACCATCACTTATATCAGTTTGTGCAGCTTTTCAGAGATGTTCTCTTATTGTACATGTTGTCCTATTAGAAAATTAGTTATATAGAGATGTTTATGGTACATGTTTATGTTCTGCTGCTGGGAAACATTGTGCAAAAGTCACCTGAATTTAAATGGTTCTGTATTTGCTAATCTTAGGAGGACAGGCGAACATCAATAGAACATTTTGGTTCTTTTGGCTGGCTCGTTACCTGAAGTACTCATGAAACATCTGGAGGCAAATATCAATGCCAGATCATAAAAAAAAGAGTGTGCTTGAAAGCTTTGCTATGAGTGCAACAACATGCAGCCTCCCTCTGTAGCTCTGCCCCCTGGGGACGCGTTTAGTGATTCACTCTTTCCCTCTGAATGGAGGAACTGAAACGTCTGTTAGGACTACAACATTAATTTCACAAATCCTCCCATCTCATCCTTTTCTTGCTGGGTGGGGGGGGGGAGGAGGTTGTGTGACAAACACAAGCTTCCGAGCAGGCTAACACCACTGCAGCACAGGCGTGCTGCTCATCACTACTCACACTGCCACAGCCATGGCCAAGAGGCCCTGCTCTGAGCGAATGGAATGGGACGCCCTCCTTCGCATGTGTGTCAAAAGATCTGTGCCGACAGCACGTGAGTTTCACAGAAACTTTCTCAGTGTCATTCTCCTTTCTGAGAAAAGTTTCCATAATCACACAGACTTAGTCTTAGTCTGAGTTGTGTTGGCTTCTCTGCTCATTTAGAATATGAACGTGGGGGGGGGGGCTATGCCTTTTATGTTTGTTTTCTTTTTCAATATACTGGCTTTTTGCAAGCATTCGAAACGCAAGCGGTGCTTTTCTTTTCCTCTCTCAGAGCCTGGCCCGACTACTGAGGGCCAGCTGAGTTGGCTCTCGGTTGGCTCCGGCTCCGTTGCGCTGCTGAGTCCATCTCTGTGGATTTGTGTGATCCTGGCCACACTGGGATCTGTCTTGGCCGTGACTTTGTGGCTTGTCATATCCAGACAACAGGCGCGGAGCAACAGCAGCTCTGGTAAGCCGTTAGCTGACAGGGTGTTTTAAGTCGAGTGATCTTTATTTTTTAACATAAAGTCAACGTCTGAGCTACTCCTGACTAGAGACATTAACTGTCTTATTTGGCTGGAAAAACATGTAGTTTTAATTTAGGGAGTAAAATTTTTGTTTTTTAAACGAAAACAGCCATCTGAGAGTCTTACGGAGGAAATGAGCTTGCTGGCAAGCAGGTTATGAAGTGTGACGTTCATCACCGTAGAAACTCCACAGTTTCTGTTCTCTTCTTCTGACGCGTCCCAGGGGCCGGTCCAACTCTCTCACCAGCTATTCTGGTTTTAGCACACATCCGTTGGTTGGGCCCCGACAACTTACGCTTCCACACAACCTTCAAAACAGACAAACTGAGTCCCCATCACAAATGTGTGCTAATGACGGACAGAAATGGAGCTCGGATAAGACTCCCACAATGAAAACAGTTCTCAGGCAACATGCTGATGTAAATGGCCTTGCAGGCCCACATATACTAACGTGCTTCATGCGGCTGACCCAGGCTTTAAATTGAATCTTCTGGAATGCAGACTGCATTTACTTCAACAATAGCTTTATTTTTTCCTCGTTGAATAAACTCTTTACACCTCTTTCCAGAATATAACCAGGAATGTGGTGAACTACGTCAGTCCACTTAGCCGCTCTGAAACACATGATGGTTCCAATGATATCTATATTCATCCTCATGCTATAAATGTCTTATTTTATCTACTTTAGGTGGTCATTTGCATTAAAACCATTAGTGCGATGATCCTGTCATCGGTTATGTTGCGAAGAAGTATGAATTGTGAGTGTGTGCAATCTTTCTGACAGGTGATGCAGTGCCAGACCAGCAGCCCCTTCAGAAAACGGAAGCATCCGCCAAAGAGCATCCACCCCCCTCGGAGACGAACGGCCGAGCCGAGGTGTTCCACAGGGCAGCGGAGGCCCCCTCCCCTTGTCATCGGCTGCACCTCGGTGCGCCAAAAGACTCACGGTGGGACGACGGTTTCACCGGGTCCAGGGGCCCTTCAAGGCACAGCTGTACAGGGGGGGGGGGGGCAGCGCCTGCCTGCAGCCCCACGGCGGATCACAGAGTCCCACTTCCTGCCACAGAGCTGGGTGGAACTGCCTTAGTTACAACTAAAACTGTGTAGGGGGGGATGTGTGTGCACGCCTGCGTTTGCGGTTTCTCTAAATTTGCAATAACTGGGTGCCCGCTGTGTTTGTGGGATCCAACTATATGGATTGTTTTCTAAAGGGATGGAAACGTGACAGTGAGAATTTTTCCAAGTTTTTGTGGTTTCCTTCAGTTATCAGAACAGTCCACAAAGGTTCTTTTGTTTGTTTGTTTTGTTTTGTTGTTGTTTTTTTTTTACATATTTGCACTTCTTGGAATGATTTGTTTTTTTGTATAAGCTGTATATATTGTGTGTGGGTTTTTAAAGTGAACTTTTTAAGCTGTGTTTAAGAATATCAAAACAAATGTAAAAAAAAAACACAATGTCCCATTTTCCAGACATTATTTAATAAAACACCAAATAATCACAGAAATATTTCAGAAGTCCTAAAAGACAGGTAGCTACGTTGGTTCATGTCACAAAAATAAGAATTTAAACTCACAAGCCAACTTATTAGATACGCCTTGATGGAATTCAAGCAGAATAACAAAACAGCCTCCCTCCATGAGCGCTCTGGTTCAGATAGATACTGATTTGCTTAAGTGGCCTTGGAAGTTGTGTGGTTCTCTCAACATATGTCACACAATAAATCTCTGGAAGGTTTTCCACATCAGTTTGTAGGTAAGTGCAGTTCCACTGTCTTTGCAGCAGCAAAATCCTATTTACACGGTAAATAATTTTCCAAGCTTCTTAATCAATTAGCTTCTTACAGGCAACATCTAAACACAAACACAATTCTCAGTCTAAAGCAAAAACTACAGAGGAGTTTACTCACTATCCTCTGAATGGAGCGGTCTCAGTAAAGTCCACATGGTGAAATGGCGATTGATAATAACAGTGTGTTTTTATTGGTCTTTAGGCAGAAGTAACCTAAGCGGGAGTTTGCAATATTTAAATTTCTCACCTTTGCAGTCATATGGAGCAATGAACTCTAACTGTGGTTAGATGGACTTTAGTGAGAAGCATCATCTCTTATTGTTTTGTTGCTGTTACTCTTCTTCTTGACTTTTCAAGATTAATTGCCTGAAGTAGTTACGCACCTTAGTTACTTGCCATCAGCAGTGAACAGTGAAAGAGTTCTCAGTTTTAAGAAACAGCTTGGAATTCTGACAGGGCGGTTGAACCAAAAAGCTAAAAGGGAACCACAGAAGTCACTCAAGTCATTTAAGTCTACACTGTCCTCATTTGGATCATCCGACAAACGTTTTCCTTGTAACTATTTTCTCAACCGAAGAATGTCCGTGTGCAGAGTGGCTGTTCAGCGTGCCCCACCATTGATCAGCGGAGTTTATCAGCAGTTGTGTCATACTTTTAGATTTCTAACTGGTGAGCACTATGTCAACAAAAGAAAAAAAAAGCTGATCAGTAGCAAATCATCTGGAGCAGTCCCAGAACTTTACACTGATTCAGAGCAGTGTGGACATTCTAACGTTGTCTTTGTTTGAATTAATAACTTATTTATTTTAGTTTAGCCAAAATGCACCGTCCTAGTATCCTCCTACAAGAACCTTTAAACTTTGCTACCCCATCAGAATCCTGTATTCCATTCAATGTGAGTACTTTGAATGTTGTCTACTCCATTTAAGATTGTAAGTTGCTGCTAAAGAGAAAACAAAGCCCTTTAAAGGGGACGACAATTCATTTTTCTCTACTTTAAAGGACCCATTTGCATGTCTAAAAACAATAAAAAAATCAAGCCACATGTCGCCACACATTGCAAAGAAGGAAGTAAACAGTTAACAGTAAATTCCAAATGATGAAGACTAGCTGAGTACTTTTTTTTTAAATCAGTTTTGTGTGTGTTCGCCTGAGCTGGGTAAGATAAGATATGCTTCAAGCTATTACCTATCTCAAAGGAGACAGAGCCTACGGGGGAATTGAGTGAGTGGGTTTGTCGTCACTGTAACACCAGCCATGTGCATAGAGTTGTGTATTCAAAGTTGAAAGGGGGAGCGATTGTATTGTGACTCAGAGGGATTTTGACTAGAAAGTGTCCCATTAACATTTTATGAATGCAAAGCAGCAAAGAGGGCTATGCTTCCTTAAAGAAAACGCTGAAAATAGATCCATTTACGTTAATCAACCATGACTCATGTGTCTTGGCTGAGCAACTGAAAGAATAGACTTGCTGCCATTTTTCATAATCAACGAGATGAACTGATGCAAAGAAGCTGTTATTTTAGGTTTTAAGGTGGGACCAGCCTGTGAGAAAAGTAGAGCATATTTGCCAGAAATCAGAACCGTTATTTGTGACCCAGGGACCAAACTTAAAAAATCTGTAGCACTGGGCTCACCTTTGACACGCCTGAGTTCTCTACTGCTGCTCCTCCAGCCAATCCAAGCCCTGAATCAGCAAAGCTGTCCACAAAAGCAAACCCCCCAAAGTGCTGACATCTTCAAAGTCTTTAAAAGGAAAGCTCCATGTGCGTGATATCACAGATAAGTTCCAGGGGCATCTGTGACAGCCAAGTGGAAGTAGTCAGGTGGGCTTTCTTTCTGCATGCTGCTGTCGGTTTCTCTGATGCGGATTTTGGTGGACAGGGTCTTTCTCTTCTCAAAGCCCTCTTTCCCGGCCCCACGTTTCTCTAGGCTGGTCACGATCATCTCTGCCAGGTCCTGCTGGAGCCGCTGGAAGTTCTCCCTGAGGCAGCAACAGTGACATTAACGGCACATGAACAATCACCTAAACATTTCTATTGGTAGGAATGTTAATCGTCAAAGGATACCATTCAAGTTATTAAAAAATTATCGGAATAAAGAAATCTTTAGAATCAATTCAGATGACACTCACGCTGTCGGTGGTGTTGGGAGATTATATTTCCCACCAGTCACCCCTGTCAACCAGTATGTCATCTCCTTGCCTTTACCCTAAAAAATGAGGTCAGTTCAGTCACAGAGACTCAAACACACAGGTCCTTTAACTGTTTAAACGCTGGGTTTGATGCCTCATCTGAACGATGAGCAAAGGCACAAAAAAGTTGGCTCACCTTCAGGTAAGTCTCTCCTCTTCTTTCAAACTCAAAGTTGCAGTCTGTCCTCTGCAAGGTTCTTATGGTGGACTGGCTTACGTGAATTCGCAGAGCTGAAAAAAGATCAAAGGAAAAAGTCCAGCCCTGTTTCCTCCAGTGGAATCAGAAACAGGAGAGCTCATGTGTTTTTACTTACGTAGGCCTGTCGACTCCATGCGTGAGGCCGTGTTGACCGTGTCTCCAAAAAGACAGTAGCGAGGCATTTTGTTTCCAACCACCCCGGCTGCACAGGGACCTGGTTACAAAAACACAAAAGAAAGCCATTCAAATCCAATGTTTAATTTGCATTCAGTTAAATTCAACGTTTTAAAAAACCCATCCAGCCCATTTTGTCTCCAGCCCACCTTAGCGACTCCATTGGGAAGCATTCTAGATCATTCAGATCTAGAAATGGAACTACTTATCATTCAGATCTAGAAATGGAACTACTTTCCTTTTTCTTTCTGTCTAGTCTTTTTTGTTACTCTGCCACTAGATGTCAGTAGAATTATGACCATCAACTAAAAGAACCCGGAAAGCTGTGAGAAGAAGGTTTCCACTGATATTTGACAGGACAGTAAACAAAGGCGCTTAAGAATGGTAAAGAGTGAAGTTTAAAAATAAAAAAACAAAAAAATACTTCATTTCTATAGTCAAGAACAGTGCTGAAAGAGTACGAAATCATCAGGAATAATTGGTACCTGAATGCACGCCGATGCGAATCCACAAAGGGATCCCCGGCAAGTGCTGCAGCTCAAAGGCTCCCACAAACGAGAGGAGGTCCAGGGCCATGTGGGCGATATCCACAGCATGCCTGTCGCCATTTCGTTTGGGTAAACCTGACGCAACCATGTACGCATCTCCGATTGTCTCCACCTAGGGTGCAACGCAAACATTGTTTTATTGCAATGCTTTTTACCTAAGCGAACTTAGAGTGATTTCCTCTTGGAAACCAAAGAGTAGCACCATAAGTTTATCATTTCCCTCAGAACTCTGTTGAAAACTTTCTTAAAGACTTAGAGAATTGGAGAGAACTAACATGTGGGCAATACTATATAGACTGTACAGTGATACAGTGCTCCTTCTTCCTCTGCGAATGAAAAATGACACTTTTACAAATAATAATGTACTTTCAGGCTTAACTACCTTGTAGACATCATGATGATCCAAGATGCTGTCAAAGTTCTTGTAGATCTCGTTGAGCATGTCGACCACCTCCATGGGGGTGCTGTAGTGGCAGAGGGTGGTGAACCCCACGATGTCACTGAAATAGATGGTCACCTCCTCAAACAGCTCGGGCTCAACCCTACCCGTCTCCTTGAGGGAACGGACAACTGGCCTGAGGAAATGCAGAGGAAGAAGGAAAGAGATTGCAAATAAATGCTTTTCAACCCTTTAAAGCCTGGATAGAAGAAGAAACAAATGGAGAGAAGATTCAAGACTTTTTTAGTCTGCAGTCTATTTGACCCTTTCACTTTTCATTGTATGTCCGATTCTGTGTAAAAGGGTTTTGAGTAAAGTCATTATAGGGTTTTGAACATTTGCACTTTTCATTTATAGGAAGTGAACTGCAGTCTCAGAGCACAAAATAGTCATGTTAGGGACTAAAACTCATTTGGCCTGTGCAACGGAAGCACCAACCAGTGAGAAATATAATCTAAGAAACCCTGACGATTACACACAGCTTTAAGATGTCCCCTGCTCTTTACAGCCAGGTAAACGTACCCTGGGAGCAGCATAAAGTTGAGCTGATCCGCTCGGTCCCTCTCGGCTTTGTACAGAGAGGTTCTCTCCTCCACCAGGTTCTCCAGCGTCCTGGAGTACATTTGCAGACGACGGATCAGGTTGTCCATGTACGTCTCAGTGGCCTGGTTGTGGAGGTTACTTAGGTGAAAGAAAAAGAAAAATCACAGCAAATAAGACTGCAGTTCACATCTGTTCACTCTGTTTATATCCAGGCGTACAACGTTTGATGGAAAGGGTTCTCTTATGCTCTCTTACCTGAAAATCTTCCCCAGTGTCAACTCTATTCTCTTGAAATCTGGCCTCCGATCAGGGTCTTCATCCCAGCAGTTTTTTATCAGCATGTTTAGCTGTAGGTGCGTGAAAAAGAGAAGAAAACAAAGAAAGGGTAATGCATGGTTTATCTATGATAGACACAGCTCTGTAATACTTTCTAACCCTCTAATATAATTAGAGGGTTTGGGGCTCTGTTACCTCAATCTCTCTTTCTGATGCGTTTTCAAAGTTGAGGTCAGGTCTGAAGAGCATGTTGTTTCTGGGGTTTTGCACTCTGTAGATCTTCTCTAGGGGAGAGAAACAGCAGCGAGTTAAATAAACGAGGCTGTATGTTGAACAGCTTCTTCAAGCAAACAGGTCTGGAATGCTGCATGTTGTACATTTGGCTGTTTGATGGCAGTAGGATGGGGACCTACCTGCAGTGTTAGAGCAGTACTGTGAATAGAACGGCGACCGCCTCGTAACAATCTCATGGGCAATGATGCCGTAGCTGTAGACATCCCCTTTCTGAGACACCCCATCTTTACGGAGGTGTTCCGGGGCAGTCCACACATCTGAGAGCAGAGGAGAGGAGAGCATGGATCTCTGATGATCTCTGAGAATGAATGGTGGCCCTTCACGAGGATCCGACTCCGTCTTACCTCTGCCTGGCCTTAAGATGGTGTTGCAACCAAAGTCCGTGATTTTGACCACCATGCGGTTGTCCACCACACAATTGGTGGACTTGAGGCGACCGTGAACCTGAATGTTGCTTGAGTGAAGATACGACATGCCCTGTAAAGGTGCAACAGAAGGGAGTTGTGAAAAGGAGGGGAAAACCATAGTGCCATCTGTTTATGTATTTTTTCAGTATATTAACTTAACTTAGTTTTATATACTGGGAGTCAGAAGATTTTTACCCCTCAGCCACAAAGACATTCCATCTTGATCAAAACCAAACAGTACCTTTGCTATGTCATACATGACGGATATCTTAAACTCCATGTCCAAGAAGGTTTCATCTGGGTAGGATATCCTGTCATTAAGAATGTACTGAAAAGGGGGGTAAAAACATACCAAGTTAACGTTCTCTCATCTTTATGACTCTGCTTAAAGGCTGAATTCAGTTAATGGAGCAGTGAAACACACATTAGTCACTCTGTTAGTGTTTGTGCTAGTGTGAGATTAGGTGCTCTCAAATAGTGCCCTTTAAACAGTGTGTCCTAAATCATTAAGAGGGCAGTAAAGTTCCAGTCAGCTCTATGGAAAGGAGGCCACTGAGCCCAGTCATAAATATCATGTTTGTCAAGTAACAAATCATGGGAGGTCATGGAAGCATTGTCCCCAAAAATGGTCATATTTCAGCGTATGTGCATTAAAAAGGCAATGCAAGTTGTCCCTTTAATAAATTTAACACTATTCAAAAGAATTTATTAAATAATCACACATGTTTAATAAATGTTTCATAATCTGAATGAGTAGTAATTCTCAATAAATTAAACATTGATCGTCCAAGGGTTCCTAAATTAAACCATTTCCACTTATTCCTTCATGCACTGTTTAAGAGGAATGATATTTTTATGTTATATTGAAATTATTTTAGCTGACAAACATGCATTAGTAAATCTGTGATAAATGAGTGTCACAATCACAGTAAAGTGGTAAACCCACTAGATGAAAGGGAAAACTGATTTCAGCTGTATCTGATATATAGGGAAAATACACAAATAGATAGTCTTACCCGAAGGGAGCCCCTCTGACACAGCTCAAACACCCCAAACACCCCATACTCAAACTTCACTGTGCCATAAAACTTAGTTAGGTTGTAGTAATCGATGCGCAGCAGCTGGAAAATAAAGACATGTGTACTGTGAAATGACTCATTCTTCTGTTCTGAATAAAATACTTGTTTAAAGCTAGAGCATAAAGATGTCTTACAGTGTTTAGCTCAATTTTCTGAGCCTCGTTGAAATCTCCATCAGTGTTTTTCAGTTCTTTCAAGATAACAGGCTAGAAAAAACAAAGGATTGAGCATCAGGATAAAACAGTTTGACACAATCATTTTCCTAAAATGTTACTGATGCACTGAATATTCTTTAATAATAAACCTATTAAGCCAAATTGTGATTTTTGTAAAGTAGAATTTTCATACCTTCCTGTCATATCGGCCTCTGTGAGTGAAGTATGTACTGTCCTTCCTCTTCTCTTCTTCAATCTGTTTCGTAAATAAAGACAAAACAGATATAATTAATTTATACAGGACATGGACCCTATTTGGTACACAAACTGTCAAATGCAAGAAGAGAAAGAAAGCAAGGGATTTTGTATCACTTTTATTCTCTTTGTTCTTGTTCTAAATTGTTTTCTACCTCTTGGTGATAGTGTGCAGAGCCTGTAACCGAGGCAGCTCTAGTTTTTCTAACAGAAGCACCGAGGTCAGCTACAACTATGGAACAGTCCTCAGTCTCTAACCTTTTTTTATCTACAGCTTTGAAAAAAGTCAATTCTGACATCCTATTATCTGCGTTCTGAGATGGGCATTTTATGCCATGCAAGAGTTCTGCAACGCCTTATTGGAAATTCATAGTGTCACAGAAATAATGAATCCCTGTCCCTAACCGTTTCTTCACTGGGATACCGTAAGGCTCATTACTGGTACCCCTTCTATTTACAATATACCTCACTTCTTTAGGTCAAGTCATCCACTTGCATTCTGTATTATGATTCCTATGCTAGATCAAAGTATTTTTAACCCCTTTTGCTTGAACCTCAATGAGCAATCAACCGCTATCCCAGCTTTATATTATCATTTGAAAACTCAGAACTTATCGAAGCGGCATCACTCTTGGCACCTAATTTAATCAACCATAACTTAAAGCAACGTTTTTTTTCTTTACCAAACATATATATATATATATATATATCCTGGTCAGTACATTCAATTTTAACTTCCCTTTATAATTCTTTTTAAGCCTAAAAAGACAGCTGCCTTAGACTCATATTGCTCACCTTCAAAGAGACCTCCTTTTCATCCAAAGGGCCAATAAGGTGTGGTTGAATGTGGGACCACCTCTTCTGCATACGGCGCTCTTTCCTGTTCTGCCTATCCGTATACATATATACATATATATAAATATATACACAAACATGCAGATACACATCTGTGAATTTGCTCAAAATGTCAAAACATTTTTCATCTGAGGGTAAATGTACACCTTCTTTTTTATGTTTCTGAATTACTGTAGCAGCGGCCACCTCGCATTTGATATAGAGATAATGTAATTCCACATGTTGTATTTGTAATAACACATTTAAGAAAGAGCCATTACCTGTAAAAGATGAGCGCGATGGCTGTTACCACCACAACACTGACCCCCAAAACAATCACTATCATATCCTGCGTACTTAAGCCTAGAAATACACATGCGTTGCCATTAATTAAGAGGAATTACAGCTTTACATGAATTGCTTTTTAAGCATAAAATGGCCTTTGTAAACTACAATTAATTGATTTTCACCCAGCATATGATGTGTCGAAGCTAAAACTAAATTACCTTGTAATTTTTCCGGTTCATCATCAGGCAGAACACCTTCTTTCCAAGGCAGGGAGGGATTTGAGTGAAACCACACGGTTTTGCTTTGAGTTGTATCAAATACTAACAGTGTTTCATACTGGTGAAAGACAGAAAGCCAATAATGAATAGGTCTTATACTTTGAATAGGTGTTATAGTTTTATATTGGTCGTTCTAACTGTTCAGGGGGCAGCAGTCTCACCTCGCCAGTAATGGTTGATGTGTACATGATGGAGAAGTTAACATCTCTGTCACCATACTCATCTAACACGTAGTTTCCGCCCATGCCTGCTTAAACACGCACACATATAGAAAAAACAAACGATAATATATTCTTAACTTTAAATGGACTGAAATTGGATGAACACTGCTGATATAAACTACTTTATCAAATACAATGTCTGAAAACCTGTTAGTAAATCTAATGTTTGGAAAAATGTATAAAATTGAAGGTCAGCTATAAGCATAGTTTGCATATACAGTAATTATATTGTTGTTATAGTTATAACTGCAAACTGTTGATAGCATAATAGTCATGGTACAAATGGAACCAGAATAACAAGCTGGAGAGGTATGGGTACGGGCTTGAGAGGCATCCCAATCCTCTGTGGCCTGTGTTACCAGGTGACGATAAAATATAATTTAGTCCATTTCTATAGAGATATCACATGGCATTTTACTTCAACACTGTTTAGGCTGAGGCCTCAGACATATTCAGTCTCTCAACCTCAGTGTGAAAGACTGATCATCCAGCTGTAAACAGTTACCTCAGCATTTTTTGGCTGAAACTGGCTTTTCAATCTTTTTAGCCATGACGTTTAGTCAAATTTATAGCACACTTCCTCCTTATTTTGGTTTAAGTTACCTTTTTTAAGGACCACTGTATAATATATATCATTTAAATACTTTTCTCTCTTTATTTCTTTTATTTCTTATATTATCGATGTCTCTGTCATTACAGTACTATCACAAATTATTTTAATGGTAAATTAGTTTTTTTCTGTTTTTTATGGTTCTTTAGAATTTTTTGTTGTGTCTTTCTTTGTGTCGACCATGTGCTCACCTTGAAAAGTGATGTTTCCAAATGGGTTGTCACTCAGAGGTACATTAGTTGATTCCTTGTTCTCTCGTTGGCTGAGTTTCCTCTCTCTGAGCACTTTACCAAATAGTAAAGCGCCATCGTGATATCCAGCCACATAATCATTTATCTGTCCATTGGATTGAAAGACATTGAAAAAAAAGACGACAATGCTCTTTTAAAACACGTTTTCCTTTGTGATTTTGAGTGGTTGTTCAAGTTTCAGCTCACCGTATCGTTGTAAGTAAAGTTTGATCCATAAGTGTAGTTCCTCTTTGGTAGAGTGACAACTAGGACATTTTGCATCCCCTCAGCAGATGTGGAGTTGAGATGATAATCTGGGCTAAATCACAAAAGAAGATGACAGCTTACATATTAAAATACTCTTACACTTCAAAATATTACACCCATGTCATTGTTTCTCTGTATAAAGACATCCTTCGCATCACGTAAACAACAGCTTTGTGATAACAGCGTGAATAAAGAATGACAGAATTTAGGTCGAGCTTACTTGTAAAGATCAAGGAGTATGAACATGGTGTCGGGATGAAGTGACTCTTCTCTTTGCTGTATTGAACGTATGTCATCTACACCCCCACATAAGATGAAAACTGAAAGAAAAAAATCAGTTAAAGGCTAAAGGGGGAAAAAATGTCTCACCATTCTTTTTTTTTTTACAGTGCAGCTCAGCATCTTTAGATGGTTGGAACCCTAAATGAGTTTACGTATCTTTTTTTTGTTGTCATTTGGTAACTTATGCAATTATAATATGAGGATAATTCATCGCTACAAAAATCGTTAATTTTTATGAATGCCTTAACACTGGAACTTAAAGCTCCATTTTTAACTGTGACAAAGATAGTTTTCCCTTGGCTGTTTGAGTCCAAAGGTGAAAACTAATTTCTGTCCATTATTTTTTTATGTTGAATTCTCGGTGAAAACAAAAAAAAAACTACAAAGGTACTAGTGATTGAATAAATCCAAATGAAATAAAATGTATATTTCAAGTCTTCTATCTCTATTGTGCAACATTCGTTACTTGGCAGAGACTGGAAGGTACAGCAGAGGCTGCTGGGAATTAGATTTTTATTTCCCCATAAACTGACTAATGAAAATCTTTATCAAAGGTTCTTGAGCAGAACCGAGATTCTTGGCAATCCACTTTCTGAGGCAACCTTCTTTGTAAAACAACAAATGCCAAATGAGATTGTCAAATAGATGTGGTTGCATCATGCAGGCACAGCTCATTTTTGGCTCAGAGGGACAAGAAAAAGGAAAAACACCCACTGTTACTGTGTCTTTTGGAAGATTTCAGGACCTCTAATAGCTCTGCCTCACCACGCAGCATTTCTCTTTGTGCATTTAAGCTAAATGTGGCCGAAGGTGCTTCCAGTGCATTATTGTACCTGAGGACAACAGCGTTGAGCAAAATTAGGGCATGTGATGGAAAATAGCACAAGTTATATGTTACTCGAGTTGACCTGTGCCTCACCAGAAGCAGTCCTCAGGAACATTGCCAGACTTCTTATACACGTACACTTTCTCCCACCTTTTCTTAAAAGGCAGAGTTTCATTTATAAATTTCACTAACAGGTCGCTGACTTTGCGTCCTGGAGGCAGAAGGCGGGTCAGCTTGGGTTTGTAGTCACACGACAGGCCAAAGCTTCCAGCAGAGATGACTGGAATGCTCAGGCTCAAGCCAATTCCTTCACTGCAGCAGATAGAGGGGTGAAAATTCAAAAGTCATTGAGGTTGATAACCTCCGGTCTGATTAGAGGAAAACTGGGTCATACTCACTCCACCAACTGGAAGGTGGCATACGTGCAGGAAGGCCCCAACATGACGCAGCCCACTTCGTTAAGAGTCTGCATCAGAAGAGTCCCCCCAACGTTAACAGTGATCCTCCCAGTGTGTGCAACCGATAAAATACTCAGGTTCAGGTGCATTCGGATAACTGAAGTAAAAACTTTTTTATACCGTCTGTATCTTTAACTCAGGTGATTCATCATTGTGTGTCACTTTTGACATATTCTATATTTCACTGCATTCTGGGACATTCTCATGTTCGGTTATACCCACATAACAGGCCTTGGCTGTTTATTCATAGATTAAATGTTGGTTTATTTACGGCAATGTTCCAGTCTACCCTTTGTCCTTGAAAATGCTTTGATAAATGCATAATTTATGATCCAATATGTACCTTTATAACTATCTCTTCATAGAGAAGCAGATATATAACTTTACCGGCTAAAATGCAACATAGGTGTGATAAAGTCACACCATAAAAGGGAACCTGTACTCTTTTAAGAAAATGGAAAGAAAATTATAAAAGTACCTCAAAATTAATCTTCTTTTTACTTTATCAGACCTTTTATATAAAAGTACACGTCATTTAAACGTAACTGAAGGGGACTTCACTTTTTGGGAGAAAAATGACATATTTCTTTTAGCATCTTCATTCAATTCATCATCACTGAAATGGATTCTTTTCTGTCCATTATGCAATAAATGTGTCCACACTCACATGCAGCATCTTGAGTATGGCCACCCCCTCACAGGTGCTGCTCCCACAGCCCTGCCTGTTGTACACGGTGGTGTTGAACCCATTGTAGTTTGCCGTCAAAGTGAAGTCTAAGCCTTGAGTCACACGGGGGGAAATTTTGACAAGAATTAGTATAGAATATAATATTTGACCCATTAATCTCTATAGGTTGATAAAACTACAACAGCTTAACTTAAGCGCCTCCTGATGAAATACATTTCCTTATCTGTTCCCGGAAAGAATTTCAAAAGTTCCATCGGTAGCGAGATATACAGTAAGCATTTTGTTCGACTGTCTGCTAATGAGCACCTGACAAACTGAGATAAGTAAAGGTAAAGCATTGAACAACTTAGGTGGTACTTGATGGCTCTTAATCTTATAAAATGTTATGAGCAGGAGATAGCATGCAATTCGGAGAGAATGTTCCTAAAATGTGTCACTCCCTCCTGTGTGATTTCATCATATTTTTTTCTGAGATGCCTGCCTATGATCCCATCTCTGGTAGATTTGTTGACATACTGGATATTTGCATTCGGTAACAATATGGAATGATGTACCCACACCAATCTGTGTGGTCAGGTGCATGCTTTTCTTTGTAACAAAAGGAGGGCACCTAACAGCTATCATAGCACAAATCAGCTGAACAGCCTCAGACATCAAATCCCCAAGGAAGGCACATCCAGCTATACAGGAGTGCTTTAGATAAGCATTACAGAATGTCTCTGAAAGCATGTCCATCCTTATAAATCTTAATTCAAAATAAACTGAAAACAACAGAGAAAAAAATGTAGTGCAAAAAGATTATTTTAGTCAACTCTGCAGCCATTTTAGGATTTTTTTTTAACTATAAAGGGAAGAGGGTAGTCTCTCTTTTAAGAATTACACAATGGACGGCAGCATTGCCTGGCTCCAGATGAGATTGTTCCATTGCAAACGTTTGCTGAATGGATTAGTGATTCAGAGAATGTCATTAGAACCCTGCAGTCCCAATTAAAGGATCAACTACTGTGTTTTTTCTATTCTTCTGCATTTACATAGAATGAAAACTCAGCAGCTAACCATTCAGTAGCTATGGGAATCACCATCCGTGAGCAGAATCCCTGTTTGCATGCATACAGAGAGCATTTCATTATATAAGGCACTTCTGTTACACAACTATTTGTTAAGTCTTTGAATTTATAGCCCAGATAGCCAAAAGCATAACTTTGAAACAAAGGTAATAAGGACTGAATACATTCTAGAAACAGCTTCAAACACCCCTACAGCATGTATTTAATGTGAGCATTGTAGTAAATTGAAAAGCATCAATCAGTCTGGTATATTTAGAAGTTGCTTTTGAATAACAATTCACCCAGTAAAATGAAGAAGGGGTATTTCTGAATTATCCCAAAAAATGTATTCAAACATGAAATCTTTCTCAAAATGAGCATTCTTTCCATGCATTTACACAACACTGGAAAAGGAAAATCTTAGTGGTTCCAATAACTAGGAGAAGGAAAAAAAACATATTTATGGTGCTCTTTATCTGCCATTTTGATTTTGCAGCTCTCCTCAATTGACTTTGCTTTGGTTCCTGAATTCATTCTTAACATCTGTTTACTTTACTGTGCTTTTCTTGGCTTTCAGTTACAATCATACATTTCATCTCTACTATCGTCTTTCCACATTGTCCTGAGCAGCACACATCCAGCCACGTTTTGGATCAGCCCGTACCGTGTTTGAGGTTCTCCTGTCTGTCCAGTTCAATGGCTCGCTCCACGGCCTTCTGCACGAATGGTCGACTCCATCCGTAAGTGTTATCCTCCAATAGTACCACATTCATGGTGTATTTACGGTTCGATGACAAACACTTATCCAGAATGTCTTTGGTGGCCGCCATCACTATCAACATTCCCAGGCAGGGGAAACAGAGCCAGCGGGACATTCTCAATCCTTCAGGCCTTCCTCTATGTCTCAGAATCTTGTGCCTTCTCCAGTTTCTACATGTCACAAATGAGTCGGTTCCGAATAGCAGGAAATCGGGTTGTTGTGGGGTTGATCTTTTTTTTTTTTACATAAGTCCACCAGGAATGATCCTCTCCATTGACGACAAAAGTCCAAAAACAGAAGTAAGTGCTCCTCCCTAACCAAGCAGAGGTCGCGCTGTTTCTTGTTTCTAAAAAAAAAAAGCAGACAAAAACGTTTGTGTTAGAATATAGAAGAATGACTGGATCCAGGACAGGTTAAATTGTAGTCTTACACACCCTCAAATGAAGCCTGAGATCAATACACTTTGTCACAGCCTGGTTTAGCCTCTTCCTTCCGTTAATGAACAACTGTCAAACACGACTCGGAGGGAGGGAGGGAGGGCAGAAGAAGCTTCCATTCTCCATCTGAACAGACACCTCACTTACAGAACGCAACAACGGTGAGAAAGGATCAAATGCGGTTGTGCGCTTGATAAATGCACAGGTCCACACATCATTTTTGAGTCAAAATAAAAAAAAATGTACACAAAACGGAATCTGTGCAGCTCATTTTCCATCACTTTCCTGCACAATGTGCTGCGTTTCGAGGACTATTTTGTAAGCAGAAGTGTAGGAAATCCAGCGGGTTGAAAGGGGCAAAGGTCACAGGGGGCCATAAAAGCATAGGCTTGTGTGGAGCTGATAAATATTGTTGGTTATAAAAGCAGGGTGGATTAAGCCTGTAAAAGTCTCTCCATAAACCATTGTCAACACACTTTGAGAAGGCCGATTTAAGTCTGTACCAACACCAAACAAAATCAGTGCTAATCCTAAAAAGCTCCACTATGTTTACTGGAGAGCACCTCAAGACACAAATCATATCTTCAAAAAAAAAAAACACGGTTGTTGAAATACCCTTTAATGATAGTTAAAACCTTCAGTGTGCTTATATTTCAGCAGGTAACGTCATCACAACATGATTAGGTCAGTAACCCAATAATTACACAGTATGAATTATTTCTATAATAGCACGTAGTTCAGCATCAGAGCGCCTCAAATTGGAAATTGTGTCTGTAGCATGACTGAGTGAAAAAACGGAACACAGGAAGAGTAGATACAGCTGCAGCAGCAATCCAAAGGTGTTGTACGTGGCGTCGTAAAAGTAATCAGCACTAGAGTGTCTGTTCTTCTGAAATGACGCAACACAAAGTGCACTGTTTACACAATCCAGCTCAGATCAACAGAAGGAAAAACCTCAGCGTATGAGAGACGCGTTCAGTTTGTGGACAGTAACAGATAGAAATCTTGATAAATTGCAACAACGAGACTACGGTGATTCCAGATAAATGCTGAAAACTCTGGCCAGATGTGTCCACCTCATTTCAGGCTCATATGGGATCCATTGTGTCCTCTGCGGACTTCTCCAGAGACAAACTGAAACAGCTCTGACCCCCACCATGTCAGCAGGTCCACACTAATGCTTCAGATGATGAGGACTGAGAAGATCTGCTCAACAAATCTTTGTGATGAACACCGTTGAGAAGTACTAATAGCTTTTTTAACCTTTGGAAACATTAAGAATAATGTTCTTTCTATCCCCCTTTTTATTACAATTGTCTTTGTTCTAACTATTGTTATCAAAGAAATCTATATTTTTACTCCTATCCATTATTTTTATCGCTGTTTCAGTGTTAGAAATATCAAATAAAGCTTGTTTCTTTTCTCTTTTTGTGAAATCAAACATTCTCTGCCAGGCGTTGTATTCGTTTTCCCACCAAAAGGTGGTCTTTCCTTTAAGACAAAATATCTGAGCCTAATGCTGTCTGAAATAGAACACAACTCAAACTTCACACAGCCTTGTTGCATTCTACAATGCAACGTAAACAACATAGAGACGCGTGAAGACGAATTTCCGACATTCCCAGCACATCACACGTCCTAACGCCCGGTTGCCACCTTACAGGGTTGTAAACATCCTAAGCAAACACACATATGACGTTTTAATATTTCGCTGGGTTCAGGTACACAGCCATTTAGTCCCCTTTGGTTTCCCATCTGACTCAGCCTGTCAGGAAATAAGCATGTGTTAAATGGAGAACTACTCCATTTTATTATCCCACGTATGCTATTAGGCAGCTTTTAAACACCGGTGAGTTAAGCTGGTCACTTCTGGCCTAACTCTCCGGACAACGATAAAGAGGTTATTCTGATGCAGGTGTCGCCGTTCAGGAGTCCTTTCCATTTAGCTGGAGGAGGGTTGTATTGATGCCAAGCAAAATCACCACGGCTGCTCAGACTTATTCTGATTTGTTGCTCTTTGGCTCCCCCAACAGTAAGACGCAGTCGGACACAAACCAAAGTGTGAGCGTGGCTAATGGACTGCCATGTACATGCAAATACACCAGGGCCACATATACAGACTCACAAACGGCTCCAATTGCTCCAATGTAAAATCGAAGTGGAGAGTTGAACAGTAATAGAAGTGAGTTGGAGTGAAGCGGACCCAAGGGGTTGAGTGGCCCCTTCAAAAACAGAGTCCATCAATCAGAGATACAGCAATCTACTGAGAAGAACAAACACACTCACTCGTCAGCTTGAAGACATGAAACCCACAGGGAGGGGGGAGAGGGAGTGGTGGATGATCATATGATGTGTTCCATGTCAAAGACAAGTCTTTTTAAAGCTTTTTAATCCAACCAAATAAACTACGCTCCCCATGTGAAACCCTCCCATAATGCTCATCCCAGTCTGTCAAAACGACTTCATTGTAAAGCCAGATCAAACCTGGTCATAAAAGTGTTTTATTCTCCTTTTTTGTCTTACTTTATCAATCAGAATATATATGTGCAACAGACTTTATTCATGTAGATTGAATGTGGCACCCTGTTATTGAAAGAAAAGAAGAAAAATAATCAATGCAAGCAGATCGGTGTGGTTTTTACTTAGGTCGGGAACAACTCACGTAGGGGGTGATAGGAGGGATTTGGTGGGGGGATGTGAGGGATGTGGGGTACTGTACCCACTTGTATAGGCTTGTCCCTCCGTAACCAAAGGAAGAGCTGTGTCACCAAGCAACAAGTCAAACTTATTTATAGTGTGCTGGGCTTTGTCCAAATCCTTTCGGTGAGTTTCATGGACTGGGGGGTGTAGCTGTGGACGGACGAGGGTAAAGTGTTCAGTTTACTGGTTTGTCGTGCGATCTGCGTAGTGACAGAAAGATGGCGATGACGGACACAAGTTGCTATATATTCATTTCTTAAAAACATAAAAACATCAACTCAACAGATTTGGAGTTTAGGCTCTTTGTTGCTTGTTTGTTTGTTTGTTGTTTTTTTCAGTCATGCCTCACTTATTTGGAGAGATCAGCAAGTGAACGGCTGCAGAGGCAAGGAGAAATATGACAAAATTAGCAACTCTTATCAGCATGTATGATCATTTAAACCCACAACACCCCAGATACTCCTATGCTCAGTGCTCCTGGTGCTCCTCTGTGCCACCACAAAATATCTAATGAACATTTGCTATATACCTGTGGACCCAGAAATGCCAAAACTACAGACCACATGCTAAAAACAGCTGGTAGGAGCTATGGATATAATGCAACATGCCAGTGAAGGTTTTTATCTCATGCATTTGAAATAAAAAAAACAATCTCATTCCTTTGCATTATGCTCATGTTGCCTTGGCTAGCGACATTCTGCAAATTGTGACTGTCTCCTGCACGCTTGTTGTTATTTTTCCCCGAAGGGTCAGCACGTGAACGACAGGCCACGCCCACCCGCGACGTCACGCCCACTCCTCCCTCGGTGAATGGCTGCCACCGTAGTACAGTCTTACATGATACCCGACACGCACAGCTCTGAGTGGAGAGCTGAGCAGAGCAGAGAGCCAAAACATAAGGACAAGAAGATAAGAACAGATTTACCACCTCACCTAACGTCCCGGATTCTAAGTTTATAGTTTTTCTCTCTTTTTTCTTTAACATCTCATCATTCTGCTGAACATTCCGATGTGTTTTTATTTCCCCCCCACGTGAATGAATGTGAATCCTTAGTATTTGCAAGACTGGACCTTTTCTGAAAGGCTTCATCAATCCTAAACTACAGCCCGGAGAGAAGAAAGCCAGGAGGAGAAGAAGGAAGAATGGAGACACCCAACGGCTTCTCTCCGGATCGAAGCGTCCTTTGCTTGTTTGACGTGGACGGCACCCTGACACCACCCAGAGAAGTAAGGAGCGTCCGATCGGTCGCCTGTTGTTGTTTATTATCTGTCAGAGAAGGCTTTCCTCTCCCGCATCTTCTGCTCAGTGCGCGGAGAGCACACGGTGTCCACTTGGCATCATGCGCTCATTCATTCAGTGTTTTAGAAATCCTTCACGCTTTTCACCACCCCCTCATACACACTCTCAAACACACACACACACAGACCCCTGTGTAAACACACCGTGCCTCCAAAAGGTAAAGCTGCTGTGAGTTGTTTGCATAAGAAAACGGTCCCATCAGGTATGCTTAAGAGCTTGTTTTTGGTTCATTTGCACTCCAAATTCAGTGGATCGTTGCCAAGTTGCTCGTTTTCTTTAAAGAAAGACAACAACGACAGCTATAGGTCTTGTCCTTCTTCTTTTATCTGCGGCTTCTACATTTTGGATTAATCCGAGGTTCATGTGTTTCAGAATGGGCCTGTTGCTGCATGGCCGGTTTAGCACTAACCTGTGTAACCAGTCTGTAATTACACAGATTTACTCAGTACAGGAGAGTGCATATTGAAACAAAGAGTCTTCTTGCAAAAATAAGCTCCGTCCGATCAGGCGGAAGTGTGATTTAAGTGTGTTTTCATGTATCCTGCAGAAAATCGAACCAAAGCTGGATGAGTTCTTCCAGGGACTGAGGAGGAAAGTCAAGATTGGGATCGTGGGAGGCTCGGACTACCCCAAGATAGCAGAGCAACTCGGGGAGGGAGACGAGGGTGAGAGAGAGCCTTCCTGCTTTAGCCAGGAGCCAGTTCCTGTTCTTCAGCCTAATGACCCGACATTTTTTAACACAACGTCCTTAATTGGATGCAGGTCCGTAGAGAGCAGAGCAAAGACGTTAGGTCCTGGGAATAACTCAGGATTTAGGCCACAACACAGAGTTTGGCTCCAAAGCCAAAACCTCAAAGAGGTGAGACGGGATGACATTTGGGTTTCACAACGTGCCTGGAGCCGCATTTCAACGCGTGTCCCATGCTAAATTTAGTCATTTGCAGCATCATATCTGTGACATCAGCTGTCACATGGCTCGGTTGGTTTTTACTTTATCAGTTTGCGTTTTTTTCTGGAGCTGATGCCAAAACACAGACCGGTACACTCAGAGTCCCGTCGTCACACCAACAACCTCTCGCTCCAGCCAGCCCCCGGCTGTAGTGGCAGGGTGATAACCGGCCTATCAGTCAGTTTTAGACTACAGCTGGAAAGCAGCTGCATTGCCCCCCCCCCAGCCAGGGCTTTGAGGTATCCTCATGCCAAGTGTGCTAAAGGTGATCCTGTTTTTTTTTAACAATACAAAGTGGCAGCTGATGCCTCTGTCTGATAGGATGACCTGTTAAACAATGGGTCTTCATTCTGTTATCACAATTGTCAATAAAGTCGCCCATTTTATTGACACCTCTGTTTGCCACTCGATTTCGGGCCCCCAATTGAGCGGATCCGACGTTTAGCGTCTCAGATTTATGTTCTTTTCCGATATCAAACCCTTATTATCACCACAGCATTCAGCATATTTATATTTATATCCCACATATGAATGAAGCGCCGATTTTATTGTGATTTGTTATCGAACCATTGAATAGAATATAATAGTAAAATAGTAGTAATAGCATCTCATTCTCTCGTTTTTGTTTTGTTTTTCCCACTAAATTTGGCTAACAATGTCCCACTGAAATACAAGATCTCTTCTTCCAGGGAGTCCTGGTCAGACTTTTAGCTCAGTGCGCTCTGCTAATAATAAAGTGATTAATTTGTTCTGTTTGGGGCGCGGATTAAAAACGAGTGGGGCGATTGGACAGATTAGATCTGTCTTGTCCAGCCGGTGCTGCGTCCGCTGTAATCTGCAGCCAGGTATATTTAGTTGGCTGTTTTGTTCTCGTGTGTTCTTGTACTCCTTAGCAAAAGAAGCTGCTCTAAATGTGGCTCTGAAGGTTTTTATAGAGGCAGATGAGCACATCTAGCTCCATGTCACCTGTCTCCTCTCTTGCAGTGATAGACAAGTTTGACTACGTGTTCGCTGAGAATGGAACGGTGCAGTACAAGGACGGGAAGCTTCTTTCAAAACATGTGAGTGAACGTAAGCACCTGCTACACACTGAACTGAGGATGGAACAGCAGCCATATTCACCTCTAAAAAAAATTTAGTTTCAAATGATGACCTGTTGAATCATGCTGGACTGCAATGTTCTCCAAGACTTGCAATGCCCTCAAGGCCCAGGGTTAGGGTTAGGGGTTGTACCCCACTTCTCGCCTAGTTGGGACAGTTTTTCTACCAACTTTTCGGGATGTGTGTAAGCAGAGCTTGACCTATTCTTTTCATATGTACTGAATGAAGAACATTTTCTTACGCCCGTCATCAGGCCATTCAGAACCATCTCGGAGAGGAGCTGCTGCAGGACCTGATCAACTTCTGCCTCAGCTACATGGGGCTCATCAAGCTCCCAAAGAAAAGGCGAGTCATGCGCCAAACTCTGAGGCTGCCGGTTATTTAAATTCCCACCTTCACACACAATTCTTTGACATCTTTGACCTCCGGGTTTGGGGGAATGTCTTCATTCCTCACCACTGACACGTTAGAACAGGAAAACACATTCCTCTTCTCACTGTTTCTTGAAAACGGGGGGATTGTGTTCTAGAGTTGGCACTCAGTTTCTGCCTATATGACATTTAACATTGCCCTTTTTCTGCTTGCAGAGGGACTTTCATTGAGTTCAGGAATGGAATGCTTAATATCTCTCCTATTGGTCGAAGCTGCACACTGGAGGAACGGATAGAATTTTCTGAAATTGACAAGGTAAACATCTTTTCTATAAAGCCCTAATCTGTAATCAGTCACCAGTGTGTGCCACAATCTCACCAATTCTTGAAAAGATCTGAATTCAATAAAGCACGTGGAGTGTTTCACAAAAGACAAATAGTTAGCTATCACGTATCAACTTTCAGGAGGATCTACTATTACATTTAAACTTTTCACAATCCCACAGTGCACAGTAGGTTGAGCACCTTATCAAAACACACTGTGCTTTGTCAAGGAGCCTCTTTGTTTCTGTTTCATCACAAAAAAAGGCACAGAAAGGTCAAACTACACTGAGCTTTCCGGACAGTTTAACAGATCTTCCACTGATTTATCACAGGCCAGTCAACACAGAGGAGGCAGTCATTAACAGAGGAGAGCTTTAAAATGTGATCATGTGACAAAGTGAGCGCACAAGGCCTCATTTGTATGAAGGTTTTAGTTATCCAAACATTCCAAAAGATGGGCATCTTTTATAGGTCTTGTAATAAGGACATTATAATCTCAGCTAAACAACAAACATGATATATTACGAAGTCTGAACCACAGTAAAGAGATGTTCCTCTGGTAGAGAAGTGTCAGAAAGAGCAGAAGCTGACTACTAAATAGGTAAAATGACAACAGGTCAATAAGACTGGGTATAAAAAGAGCATCCCAGGGAGGCTGGGTCCCTCATCAGCACACATTAAAATAGCTGTGAATCCGTGAGAGGAGACAGGTGAGGAAATTCTGTGCCGGACCCACAAAAGCAAATTCATGTGCAAAGATAACAAGCATTCTGGTCATGTGAGATGGACTCTGGCTAAAAGCAGAAATCTGTCTTATTTCATTCTTCAAAATGCTAAACCACATTTTATCCATATAAAAAACCCAAACAGATTTTTTCAAGTTATCTAAAATGCAACCAGAAAACTTTTAACTGTTCTGGGCAGATTCAACAGTGGATTCAGTTTTTGAAATGGTGATTATGTCAGTAAAAATGTAAGTCCAGCCACAATTCCAATGAAATCGAGTTTCCCAAAATTCAACAAACACACCTAGAAATTGTGTTTGGCGTTCAAATCACATTTCATACTTCAGGGTTATTGCCATTTAACTCGAGGCCACTTAAATCATTTCCAGACAGTGGCTTGGCAGTGATTTCATCCTGATTTTATAACCACACTGAAATTCCAACAGGCAGAAAGTAACTTAAAGACAAAGCCTGGATAATGAAATCTGCTTTGCTTTAATGCACAACAATCTCCCACAGGGGAAGGTTGGAGCTGTGGAATGTCTCAGTTTTTCTCACGCAGTCCACAGTGTAAAATGCACGGGAAAAACAAAAGGCTGTCAATAAGTTGATTGTGCTCCTGTTTATCTGTACGGGGATGAGGATAGATGACCGATTAACGACAGTCTGGACAGTGAGATTGATGTCCTGTCCCAGCTATAAGTTAAACCAATTGTCAGCATTTTCTATGCTGCCATTGCACTATTTATTATATGCACAACTCATTCAAAACACGGTACTGTAGACTATGCTGCAGTATGAAAATGAAATATTCACCCTCTTGGGAGATGAACTAGGCAGCATAGTTACCATTCACAGGTCTTATATCTGCGTAGTAACTGTCCAGTCTGGTGTTAACAAGCTAACTGGTTCCCTTCTTGCGTCTCAGAGGGAAAAGATCAGGGAGAAATTTGTGGCTGCCCTGAAGGAGGAATTTGCTGGAAAGGGACTGCGCTTCACGAAAGGTGAGAGAAACAGAGCGCCTGTTACCGCCCATTCCTCCCACCATTCCTCCCACCATTCCTCCCACCATTCCTCCCACCATTCCTCCCACCATTCATCCCAATCCGAGTCCCTGTGGCTGGGCCCATGATTCTGTTTTCATCGTCCACTGAACGCCCGGTGATTTTGAGAGCTGTGCTTTGTGAGTCATTGTTATCACACCACTTGCTGCTTCTTGTGTCCTCTCACTCTGTCGCCGGATGGAAAAACAAGCTCGTTGGTATTCTGTTTACTGACTTAAAGGCAGACTGGTTTTACGGCATTTCGCTCCGCTGCCTCTTATCTGCCTGTAACCAAAGGAGCCCCTGCTTTTTTGCACTTAGGCTTTGCCCCTGGACCTTGTGCCGCCGGACATCAGGACAAACTTCGGTTAACTATTACACGCTGTCCCCTCTCGCCCTGTTGTTGACATCTGAGGTGTGCTTTTGCTCCCTCAAACCGCTGAGGTGTAAATCACTTGAGTGTTTTTTGGCCTTTGTTTTTTCAACTCTGATGCCATTTGTTCCCCATTTACTGTGTTGACTCTGACGCTGGGAAAACAGACTGATGAGTGGAAAAGGTGTTCGGAGGTGGAGGTTTGTTTGTTCACCTTTGGTTGGACTTTATCTGAGGAGGGCATAGCTGTCCCTGTTAGCTGATAGGGTTGATCCCTGTCCTGGGTGTTATATGAACCTGATCTCCCTCCAGAGTACAGACTGTAAGTGTTCCTGGCGTCCTCTGATGAAGGGACTTGTCCTGAAATGGTTATCCTAATAGACTATGACCACCTCAGAGAAGATAAAGACAACAAAACCTTAGGAGACAACAAACTGTTCCGTCTCCATTTGTCCAGACAAAACGCGCTCAGGTTAGGTTTGACAAAGGTTGCGCATTAACTTATTTTGCAGAGTCAACAGCATGGATTTTTTATTTTTTTTTATCTTTGTGAATGGAAAAACATTGTTGAGGGATGGGCAGATTACAGACACGATCTGAATCAGTAAGTTTATCATTACAGGGACGAGAGGTGATTTGTGGTCGTAGGCGTGCGGAAGGGTGTGTGAGGCAAAGCGCCCTCCGATTGGCTGGATGGGTTAGGGATAGGCAAAACAATATAAATAAGTATAAGCGGAGAGAGGGAAGGAGCGAGAACAAAGTCTGCATTGTGGCCGGTTTCTCTTGTTGCCAGTTTCATAGCACAGCGGTCAGCGTGTTGATTTGACCAGCGGCCGTCATAAGAATGAATCCACTGTTCAGCTTTGGTGAGCTTGGCCCGTTACACTGCAATTGTGACCAACTGCCCTACGATTCATCTGGTCAAAGCTTTGGCAAAGAAAGAATAACAACCCCAAAATGATGCATTTTGGAAGTTCTTTCTCAGGCCACAACTTACCGGGACTTTCACACGAGTGGCCGTGTTGTTTCGTCAGCATGCGACATGACACGTGTCTCCTCCCTCTTAGAAATATAACATTCTATATTTTTCGTTTCAGGTGGTCTCATCAGTTTTGATGTTTTCCCTGAGGGATGGGACAAAAGGCTGTGTTTAGATCTGCTGGAGAGAGAAGGCCTGGATGCCATCTACTTCTTTGGCAACGAGACCTCAGATGTGAGAACATTTTGTCTTTTGCAAAAAGAGTCTATATTTTGTGCATGTTTTTTGTTTGTTTGTTTTTAGTATGTGTTTACAGTGCTTTATTTGCTAGCAAACATCTATTTGCCTGTCTCCAAAATGGATCCAACTGGCTTTTAAAGGATTTTAGGGTTAGCAGTGATGCAGTTTGACCCCCTGCTCGGGATGTTGGAAAAACATGCTCCGTTTCCACAGTCCAATGAGCTCTTTTAGTTTTTTTAGTTAAGAGTGAGCTGTTTCATTTCAAAACAACATCTGCCCTTTTCCACAGTTTTTGCAATGAGTTTGAAGTTGAGAAACAAAGTGATGATGTTGTTTTAAATGTAAACCAACAAAAGAAAGCAGAAGCAGAAAATCAAACTTATCTATGACAGACAAAAGGTTTGCAGCCTGTGTGTAAATACCCATCCATCCATAATCCATTTTCTGAACCCTTGTAATCTGGCTGTGCACATTTCTTCCACATTACCATAAGAAAATTCAAACATCACCACATTATGGTCAGTCAGCTCGGCTCCATTGTGCCATTTACACCAGTCATCTGACCAATCAGAGCAGAGTCAGCCTCAAATTGTTAAAAGCTCAAATGTAAAAACTAGAGATAAAACAGCCTGTTTCAGTCAGGTTGGAGCAAACTTTGATGCAGCGGCATATGTTTAGGGAACTAATGATGATAAGGAGTTTATTGAACAAAAACGAAATTAGGTAATTAAATTAAGAAATCTAAAAGTTTTGCACTCTAAGCTGAAGCAGACTCCAAATAATTATAGCCAGTCATAGTCACAGTATGTGAGAGGCATGCAAGTTATGGAGCCAGGCCCTAAAATGCCCAATGCATCAGACTTAAAGAATGAGGTCACCTTTATATATGGTTTGATCGACCTGTGGAGTGGTTCCCACGATGCTGCAAATCGCTTCAGACACTGAGAAGCCTCCGTTGAAAATGTCATGGGGTGATTTCTTTCACAGACAAGAAGAGAAACAGAAGAAGTCAAATGTCTCTCTGTTTTTGCACTCATTCTTTTCGATGCTTCTCCTTGTAGGGAGGAAACGACTATGAGATTTTCAACGACCCGAGGACCATCGGCTTCACGGTCTACTCTCCTGAGGACACGGCCAGACTCTGCCGAGAGCTCTTCTTTGATCAGGAGTCCTGATGTCCCGATCCGCTCCCATCCAGTCACCCACAGGCTCCTCTGAACTGGATTGTGACCCGGATCTTGAAGTCACCTTATTTCTAATATTCTGGAAGATACGACTACTGATTTCTCCATATTTTTTTATATCATTATATGATATCAGCAGACGGCAGTAGATTTGCAAACTGCCACTGCCTGGTAGAGTTTTTTGGTTTTGTTTTTTAAACTTGCAGTAACTGACTCATACTGTGGGAATATTTTAAGTTCTGTGTTTTACCTCTGTGACGTGACCCAGAAAGATATCAAAACAGGAAAAGTAATCATGCAGATTACTGTCAGTGAAGGTGGATATTTTGCACAAATGTTGGGATGATTTTATCCCAGTAGTCAGTATTTTTTAAATGATAATAACTGTAGGAGGTGAGAGGAAGAAAGAGATTGAGATTAAAGTCTGTGATAGTCAAGTGAAGACAGGGGCTTTTCTTCTTCTACTATTTAGCATACACAGAAGAGAACATTCCAGCTGTTTTGATGTGTGAAATGGATTGGATTTGTTGTTGGTTCACTGTAAGTTTCAAAGGTCTCCCACAGAAAACAAAAGAAACCTACTTGTGTTTGTAAAGGTTTATCAAATGCATTCAAGGGACGATTTCGCAAATTTCTGTATATCTAACTGATTGTTAATGAGTCTGTGAACTCATCTTAATAAGTCAACGTCACTACTGTGGCCAAGCCGCGCTGTTTAACTTATAAAACAAGATTCTTTTTTAAACTCTTTATCAGAGCTTGTATGATTACAAGTACTCCTTAAAAATCTGGTTTAAGCAGTATATGCAAACAAAAACAAAAATGTAACAAATCAACGCAACTGATTTCCAATAATGATGTTTCTAAGCTAATCTAAGTTTGCTTGTAGCATTACAGTTTAACTTCTATGATCATTTCAAGATGTGTTATTCATTTTTTTAAATGTTAACATTCAGCCATTGCACCAGGGGTCACGGGCTGGATCTTTTTTGTTAGTATGAGGCCTTTAAGTGCTTGTGTAGATGAGAAATTGTTTTGTTTTTGAGGGGAAACACTCCTCCACGAAAATAACTGTAATGATCATGAAGACATTTGTTCACGGTTGAAAATGAGATTTTAAAGTATACCTGAAGCTAGTTTTAATACTGACATGGTTTTAAGGTAGCATATGCAGAGAAATGTATAATTGTTGTTCTAATGTAAGTACATACCTATGTGTATGTATATGTGTGTGTATGCATGCGTGTGTGTGTGCGTGCGTGCGTGCGTGCGTGCGTGCGTGCGTGCGTGCGTGCGTGTGTGCGTGCGTGCGTGCATGTGTGTGTGTGTGTATCATCAGACATACTATGCCTCTTTCTTTTTCTGCCTTTTTAAAAAGTGAATCTTTTTTCTTAGCCCTGTTCAGGAAACCCGACCTCTGTCGTTCTGCATCCAGCCACTGGATGTCACCTTTCCCTTAAATCTGGACCCCTAATGTGCTTCAAAAGTGTGTGTGGTGTCCAATATTGTCACCTGTTTTGTCTCGTGTCGCATGTGCATTTTCCCGTCGGCCTGACCTACAACAAATGAGCCAGTTGACTTTGAGGCTAACTTACATCTACTGCACTGGCTAAGATGGCATAGCTGGATGGTATAGTGTCATTAGCATTGAATGTTGTATTTGAACAAATTAAATTCCATACTTAGTTTGTCATTACTTATTTAGTTTGGTCAGAGTCGTTCCTTTTCTCAGTTTTTTTTTCCCCAGATGAAACAACAATCTTTTCAGACTGCAAATGCAATAACAGGCAGATTTACCGCCTCAAATTAAAAACAGGGCCATCAGAGACCCATTGGATTTTGGCTGAAAAAGCGTTCCTTCTCTCCTCTTAATAATTGAGCTCCAAAAACGATGCAGTCTCATTTCTCTCGGCGTAGATTTATGTTGATTCATCTTTTTAGTTAGCTCTCGGCTGGGAGTTCCATGTGTCCTCTTCCTGTTTCCATAGGGACAGACATGGCAACTGCATATCTATTACATTACTGAAGTAATGAAGGCAAAAGAAAACAACAGTCACCCCTGCAACTGCAAAACAATCATGCATTAGGCACTGAATGACTGGTTTGTTCAATACTGTTAAGGAAGAAACTATTTTACCTGCTAAATTTTACACAATCGTTCGTTACAAAGATTATCCTTAAGAGACAGAACATTGATTAATCCTAATAGGCAGATTAGCATGTCTTACATCTATTATTTTTCTTAAAAGTGGGCATAGACTAGTGCTACTTCGCCCAGAAAACTTCGGAGCTGGACCTTCTGTAGCTGTGGTGGCCCCACTAAAACACAGCACTGGGGGAGTTTGTTTATACCCAACATTTAAAAGTGCAAGTGGATTTAGTTTCCACAAGATTCAGGCCATAAACTGCTTTATGCATCTCCTGGGTGAGAAAGCAGTGACAGTTATGTGTGGGATATGAGAATTTAGGAGCAATTTATTCAGTCTAAATAACCGTTTGGGGGTACAAAAGAAATGGCTTTCACGGTTGTCAAAAAATAGCCTGTGAACCAAACAGTTTATTCTCATGTGCTCACTTTCTGGTGAAGCACACAACTCCCGGGACAGTTTCATGTTTAATGTGCTTTCGAGGCTCACTGAAGGTGATGGTGGGAGTGGTTTTGTTCCCAAAAACGTCAAAGTCCTTTTTCAATGTGACAGAGATGGATAAAGTTTTACTTCAAACAGATCAGGGATGCGATACAGGGGGGATGCATAGACTCTACTGAACACACACTTTGATGGAAAACGGCATACAGTACAGAAAATACCCTGAAAAAGCCCCACTTGTGGAAAATGAGCTCTGTTGGCACCGACCATGTAAGTGTGAGATTCGCTGTCACACTGAACACCCATCACACGTAAAATACATGCTTTAAAAAACAGTCTTTTCACGCACATTGAGTCAAACCTAACACTGATGTGTGAAATACTGGGACATTTAACCCTTAAACATGGGGGATGTTAAGTGCAACTTTCTGCTGGAATTATTCAAAAGGATAAAGCCTGTTTTCTGGTAGACACATACACACATATACTAGATATCAACAAACAAACTGACAATCACAAAAGAAACCATTCAATATAAGGAGGATTTGCTTTCTATCCAAACTAAATATTTTTTCCTTTTGTTTCATTCTCTATTTCTATGAGGTCCATTTCTCTGAGTCACCACCTCCCTCATGACAAGAGGGAGTAAATCCCTTAATTCCCCCCTCTGACTTTCCCTTTAAAATTCAAGTTCCATCTCATTTTCACAAAAAACCTTCCCAGATTTTGGTTTCAGATTTCAAAATTGATCTGAAACCAAAATGAGATCATGTGACCTCCCAGCAAGTTTGGAATTGGAAAAGTTCTCACATTTTTTATGGGTTGTACGGTTTCTCACAGCTTACTAAACCTGATATTGTAAACTTGTAAACTTTCTTTTTGTTTATTTAGTAACAATGTAATTCAGATATCTTTCTTCTTTTTCCAAAACATGCACTATTCTTTTTAAGTGATCCTCAAAACTTTGATGACACAAACAGCAGAGTTGAGAAGTAGGATTGAATTCAGCCTTTTAGCCAAGCATAAATTCCTCTTCCTGCATATAAACTCCGCAGCCAGGTCTCACTTAACAAATCTGCATCACAGTCATGCTTGAAGTCTTCCCAGTTTTTCATCCGTAAACACTCAGTGTGAGTTAACGAACACATACAATCTTCCAACTTTATAATCTGCTTAATTTATAGCCCCATTTTCAAATTGATCGTGAACAAAAATATACACAAAATAGGTCTTTCTATTAATCGTAGATCAGTGAAATGCTGTGGGCAGTTTTGAACAAAGCATGTCAGCTCTGTGAGGAAAAACGTGTAAGCAACAACCTTTCGAAACTCGGTAATCTGATCTGAAGAAAAAAAAAGAAAAAGAAAAAAACACGATAAAGAACAGAAAGGTCCTGAGTTCCAGAGCATATGTGCCACCGACCGAATCCAACCCTGAGCACTGCCCTATAGGCCCAGAGCCCAGGAACTAGGAGCTGAAGACCTTCCCAGACCAGGTCTCGTGTTTGGTCCCTGGCTTGAGATGTGTGATCTTCACCTCCACCGCCTGCACTTTCAGGTTCTTGGGCGGAACTCGGGACACCTTGTATGTGACCTCGTCGCCTTCAACTGGGACATATTCTCCCTCGATGCTGAAACGCAGAGAAGTTGAAGCGGTGAAACATTTTTAACCGTCTGAGTTGCAGGTTCCTCATGTAAGCATAGGATGTGCATTCATAAGTCAAAAAATAACACCAAAACATTTGTTTATCAGTTAACTTGATGTTTTTGGAACTACTTTAATACAGTGTCTTATTATGTAGAATTACTTTGTACATAATTCATTCTGAATATTACGTTTGCAGAATTCTCATTTAGCCACAATCTGAATCTGTGTTATTCAGCTGATGCCGTGTGTTTGTGGGGTGTTTCGGTTCTTCGCAACTCACTCTGAGATATGAACAAAGATGTCCTCCACACCATGGGACGGCTGGATGAATCCGTGACCCTGCGACCTGGAGAAGTTCTTACAAGTGCCCTTAAAAACTGGACCTGAGTGTGCACGAACAGTGCTGCAGGCGGGGAGAGAGAGACAAACAAATCCCTCACATTAACCAGAAAATGACTCACTTAGGGGGAAGGGAGGGGGGGGCGGCAGCTTGAAACTGACAAGAGTGGTCCTTGGTAAACATCTTGACCCAGACTGTCTTCTTTTTTTTCATTCATTCATTCATAAGCATCAAAAGGACCATAACAAACGGATAAGTATTGATAAAGATATATTGGATGCCATGAAAATTTCCTGTAAAATCAGCCTCTTTGACTTTCTGTCCTCAGTGTTGCTTCACTGGAGCAATGAAAGGAGGTCATTTCACCCTGTAGGCTAAGATTTACCTTTAAAGTTCATGACTACTGTACCAGTATTAGAAGTGTAAGAATCCAGGATTTCTAGCACAGGATTATATATGAATATGCAGAATAAGCATATTTTTCCTACACTTTTTCCTTTGCTAAAGGCCTGAACCTTTTCTGAGTTGTGCCTCGACTCAGACGACAACAGATATGTACAGTAACCATGAAGATGAACCTCATTTTCACACCAAAACTGACCACTGACCACTAAGCCTTAACTGAAACAGTCCGACTGAGTTATATGTAGAAGTAGTTGGTGGAAAGTCAATGTTGTGATGTCCATATTAATATTACTTTTCTCTTTTTCTGCTGTTCACATTGTTTTTGCACTGTTTGTGCACTTTGCCATCCAGTTGACTCGCATCATTGATGGCGTACATGTGGAAACCCATTTCATCTTTGATTTTTTTCACTGCATACATGAACTTTGATTGTCATGTTGTTGGAGTTGCAGTGACAGTATTGATTATGCTTTTCTTTTCTTTTCAGAAACCAAAAATATTCAATTTTGATGGCATCACACATTTTATTCATATCTAATAGTGTCTGTGGTTTCTTTCAAATATTTTCATATACTCGATTGTAAGAAAAAATATTTAGATTGCATTTGATCAATACTGAATGATATTTTAATTGTTTTGCTTGATAACAAGATAATATGATTAGTTTTTCTTTACATATATTACATTTTCTTTAGTTAGCAGTCCCTTCAAACACCAACACGTGTATTCTCAAAAAAGTTACCCTTAAATTAAACACAAGTTACAACTTTTCCTTCTTTCTAATGGGCTGCTGCAAACGTACGGACCTATCCATTAAAGAGCAGCCTCTCACAGGCTGCATCTACCTGTAGCTGGACAGGAGTGCTGGTACTCACGCTGAGTAGGTGCGGGTGCGTTTGGTCGGCAGTGGGCTGGGGAGATCACGCAGGAGTGGTGGCTCCTTCCCTTCCTCCCACACCCGGCTCCCCTCCCTCAGGAAAGGGAAGGAGAGGGTGAGGGGAGCGTCGGGGGAGCGCAACGGAGCCCCGGAGGGCGAAGTGAGGCCGGGATCTGCCATTTTATTAGGAGTGATAAAAAGAAGTGGGGCTGGAGAGGATGATGCTCCTCAGGCTGCAGGCAGACGACAGGACGGTCAGTCCTCTGCTGCGTCTCAGGACACTGAACCGCTGCGGACACTCAGCTGTTATCCAGGTCACCGGTGTCAGCTTAGCTCTGTCAAGACCACTCGCTGTGAAGAGAAAGATGCCACAGAGAGAAAACAGAGAAAGATGAAGGGAGTGTCACATTTAAACCTAATAGCAGAGCCCCCCAAATAAGGAAAAAGCTTTGTGTCTCTGTGCTCCTTATTATTGTCTTTGACAACTGTCCATTTTCTGTCATATGATTAAAAAGAGGAAATGATGCAATAGGAAAAGAGCCAGCCCCTCCTAGTGAATTTCCCTTCAGCAAGTCAAACCAAACGGTTTAGTGACAGATCTATGTTGTTTTCAACTGACCCACCACATGTCCAGATTGCAGGGCAAAAACAGTAAGTGAAAACACTTTTTGGGTGAGTAAAGAAAGTACAGTAACATGCAAAAGCAATTCTATCAATATGTACCACGGCCTTTGTTGTCAAGGAGCCCAACTTCCTTTTTGTATTTTTGTGGGGTTTTTTTTTTACAGAGGCTGTGAGCAATAGCTTTCCAGGCTTTCCCTTTAGTTTGCCCTGAAACTACACCAGAGTTGGTCTGGTCATTCTTAGGGATGGAAGGCAAGGCTAAGGTACGCCAAATGACACACAAATCCTGACTAAAAATCAGTGGGAACAGGTCGGATCCTGTGGTGGAAACTCCCCAGAGTCCAGACCTTAACATCATTGAAACAGTGTGGGATGATTTTGACTGAGAACGGAACAAAAGGCAGCCAGGGGAGCTTATGGGATATCAGTCAAGAAGCCTGGAGAAACATTCCTGAAGACGACTCTTAGAAAAAAATTACAACAAAGTCTGTGATGTGTGGGATGGGGCTGTTTGAAGAAATACGCATATTCAAGAAGGAAGAAACATTGACCTTTAGACATAGACCTTCTGATCTGCTAAACAGTTCAAACTGGACTTTTATTTTGGATGCTGGATTTCCATTTATTGCATTATTCCATAAATCTTTGCTGAAATGGATTGTTTCCCAGGCATTGTCCGAAGAAACAAGGGGTTGCTCATTATTATTATGCATCACACTGTAAAACAACTATTTACAGACCTATTCAGTGCCTGAGTACACTCCAATTCCAATCCAAGCACATCCCACCTCCAGGCGTTTCAATAAAGGGACCCTTTTCAATCCCGACGCATTCAGCCTAAAGAGTGGTCAGAGTATTCATAGTCAGTGCGCGTTGTTTTGGTCAGATGACCTTGCCTTGCTGCCCCCCCCCCCTCCTCCTCCTGTGCTGTGATGACGTCGGAGCAGCTGCAGAATGACGCGGCTATGGTGCGTTTGTGACGCCATTGATCCGGTCCCACATGAACGATGGGGGGGCATGTCCAGTCCCCCAAGACTACTACACCGATACTACCACCAAAACATGTCGCATGCAGGGGGGTAGCTGTTTCGGTGTAAGCTTTAGGGTACAGAGGGGGGAGCTCAGGAATTTACAACCGTGTCTTTCTTCATGCAGGCTATGGAGAAAATGTCAGTTCCACCCCCACCCCCATAAGGACACAGCTTATGATGGAAAGACATGACTAATGAATCTAAGAATGATACGTTTTGTGTGGAGTTTAAATCATTTAGACTACTTTGTCTTCATTTATAAGCCTCAGAAAAACCGCAGCCCACATTTATCTTATTTTTACTTTCGGCTTATTTTACTAATCCAATTGGGGAGGAAAGCACTCTCTCCTCCCAGCTGGTTGTCCCAGATGTGGGGGGGGAAAAAAGCGATCAAATCCTCTCTCAGCCACCAGACACCAGCACCCGGACCTCAGCAGGGTGAGAGGTCGCTTCTTTATCAACAACAACAAGAAAAAAAAGCGATAATAACCCGCTGATGTCCACTTGGATGGACCCTGCTTCCACACATGATCGATCACCCACGCGGCTGCGTTTCGATGTTGACGTTAGGCGTGATGAAAAGAAACGGGGGAGAAACAAAAGACACGGACAACGGGGAGTCCCGGAACGCGCTCCTCCTGGCGCAAACGCCACTTACCCGCAATGGGTGCGCCGGAGGGACGGGCGGCGCGTGGAAGCTCCGCGAGCGGTGCACCGTGCAATTACACGACCGAGTCGACCAAATCTGCCCAAGACCCACGGAAAAGCCTGATGTTTGTGACGGGGGGCTGCTGCGTCTGCGCAGCTGGGGGAGATTCCGCTGCGCGGTGCGGCTGCGTGCCGCTGACTGTGGTGGACATTCCCTGACCAGCAGCAGCTCCAGAGCACTCTGCAGTCCAGCTGGCCTGATGTGGGGATAGTTCCTCCTCATGCTGTGGAAATTATTGTCCCAGGGGGATGTCAGATGAGGACAAACATGAGCCACTAAGATGGTTGTGATACACTCCCGTCCATTCGTTTAGGACACAGGTCCAAAGTTCTGCGCTAAAAGTAACAAAATAATTAATAAATTGGTCCAGTTTTAGGAGATCTCCCGCCGGTCACGTGCAACCCGTCTGTTTTAGTTCCAAGTTTCACATCGCAAACCTCAACCGGCCACACAGTTGTCACATGAAACCCAGGCTGCATTTCTGCTTTCACCATGCAAACCAGTCCCAACCCACCCCGGCAGATCTGCCATGAGCCGGCCGGACCGTGCCCCCCCCCCCTCCCCTCTGAGCAGACGATTTAAAGGCCCGGTCAGTAATCTCCTCCGATTTATTCGTTCTAATCGCACAAAATGACAGATTCATAGATCAGAGCTGCTCCCGCTGGTTCAAACGCCTTTTTACTGCCAAACAGAGGGGGGG